GAATCTGCAGCTCCAGACGCAGGAGAATCTGCAGCTCCAGGCGCAGGAGAATCTGCAGCTCCAGGCGCAGGAGAATCTGCAGCTCCAGACGCAGGAGAATCTGCAGATCCAGGCGCAGGAGAATCTGCAGCTCCAGGCGCAGGAGAATCTGCAGCTCCAGGCGCAGGAGAATCTGCAGCTCCAGGCGCAGGAGAATCTGCAGCTCCAGACGCAGGAGAATCTGCAGCTCCAGACGCAGGAGAATCTGCAGCTCCAGGCGCACGAGAATCTGCAGCTCCAGGCGCAGGAGAATCTGCAGCTCCAGGCGCAGGAGAATCTGTAGCTCCAGGCGCAGGAGAATCTGCAGCTCCAGGCGCAGGAGAATCTGCAGCTCCAGGCGCAGGAGAATCTGCAGCAGCTCCAGGCGCAGGAGAATCTGCAGCTCCAGGCGCAGGAGAATCTGCAGCTCCAGGCGCAGGAGAATCTGCAGCTCCAGGCGCAGGAGAATCTGCAGCTCCAGACGCAGGAGAATCTGCACCTCCAGGCGCAGGAGAATCTGCAGCTCCAGGCGCAGGAGAATCTGCAGCTCCAGACGCAGGAGAATCTGCAGCTCCAGACGGAGGAGAATCTGCAGCTCCAGACGCAGTAGAATCTGCAGCTCCAGTCGCTGGAGAATCTGCAGCTCCAGACGCAGGAGAATCTGCAGCTCCAGGCGCAGGAGAATCTGCAGCTCCAGACGCAGGAGAATCTGCAGCTCCAGGCGCAGGAGAATCTGCAGCTCCAGGCGCAGGAGAATCTGCAGCTCCAGACGCAGGAGAATCTGCAGCTCCAGACGCAGGAGAATCTGCAGCTCCAGGCGCAGGAGAATCTGCAGCTCCAGACGTAGGAGAATCTGCAGCTCCAGGCGCAGGAGAATCTGCAGCTCCAGACGCAGGAGAATCTGCAGCTCCAGACGCAGGAGAATCTGCAGCTCCAGCCGCAGGAGAATCTGCAGCTCCAGGCGCAGGAGAATCTGCAGCTCCAGACGCAGGAGAATCTGCAGCTCCAGGCGCAGAAGAATCTGCAGCTCCAGGCGCGGGAGAATCTGCAGCTCCAGGCGCAGGAGAATCTGCAGCTCCAGGCGCAGGAGAATCTGCAGCTCCAGGCGCAGGAGAATCTGCAGCTCCAGGCGCAGTAGAATCTGCAGCTCCAGACGCAGGAGAATCTGCAGCTCCAGATGCAGGAGAATCTGCAGCTCCAGACGCAGGAGAATCTGCAGCTCCAGCCGCTGGAGAATCTGCAGCTCCAGGCGCAGGAGAATCTGCAGCTCCAGACGCAGGAGAATCTGCAGCTCCAGGCGCAGGAGAATCTGCAGCTCCAGGAGCAGGAGAATCTGCAGCTCCAGGCGCAGGAGAATCTGCAGCTCCAGGAGCAGGAGAATCTGCAGCTCCAGACGCAGGAGAATCTGCAGCTCCAGCCGCAGGAGAATCTGCAGCTCCAGGCGCAGGAGAATCTGCAGCTCCAGACGCAGGAGAATCTGCAGCTCCAGGCGCAGGAGAATCTGCAGCGCCAGGCGCAGGAGAATCTGCAGCTCCAGGCGCAGGAGAATCTGCAGCTCCAGGCGCAGGAGAATCTGCAGCTCCAGGCGCAGGAGAATCTGCAGCTCCAGGCGCAGGAGAATCTGCAGCTCCAGGCGCAGGAGAATCTGCAGCTCCAGGCGCAGGAGAATCTGCAGCTCCAGGCGCAGGAGAATCTGCAGCTCCAGGCGCATGACAATCTGCAGCTCCAGACGCAGGAGAATCTGCAGCTCCAGGCGCAGGAGAATATGCAGCTCCAGGCGCAGGAGAATCTGCAGCTCCAGACGCAGGAGAATCTGCAGGTCCAGACGCAGGAGAATCTGCAGCTCCAGGCGCAGGAGAATCTGCAGCTCCAGACGCAGGAGAATCTGCAGCTCCAGACGCAGGAGAATCTGCAGCTCCAGACGCAGGAGAATCTGCAGCTCCAGGCGCAGGAGAATCTGCAGCTCCAGGCGCAGGAGAATCTGCAGCTCCAGGCGCAGGAGAATCTGCAGCTCCAGGCGCAGGAGAATCTGCAGCTCCAGGCGCAGGAGAATCTGCAGCTCCAGACGCAGGAGAATCTGCAGCTCCAGACGCAGGAGAATCTGCAGCTCCAGACGCAGGAGAATTTGCAGCTCCAGGCGCAGGAGAATCTGCAGCTCCAGACGTAGGAGAATCTGCAGCTCCAGACGCAGGAGAATCTGCAGCTCCAGGCGCAGGAGAATCTGCAGCTCCAGACGCAGGAGAATCTGCAGCTCCAGCCGTAGGAGAATCTGCAGCTCCAGACGCAGGAGAATCTGCAGCTCCAGGCGCAGGAGAATCTGCAGCTCCAGGCGCAGGAGAATCTGCAGCTCCAGACGCAGGAGAATCTGCAGCTCCAGACGCAGGAGAATCTGCAGCTCCAGGCGCAGGAGAATCTGCAGCTCCAGGCGCAGGAGAATCTGCAGCTCCAGGCGCAGGAGAATCTGCAGCTCCAGGCGCAGGAGAATCTGCAGCTCCAGGCGCAGGAGAATCTGCAGCTCCAGACGCAGGAGAATCTGCAGCTCCAGACGCAGGAGAATCTGCAGCTCCAGACGCAGGAGAATTTGCAGCTCCAGGCGCAGGAGAATCTGCAGCTCCAGACGTAGGAGAATCTGCAGCTCCAGACGCAGGAGAATCTGCAGCTCCAGGCGCAGGAGAATCTGCAGCTCCAGACGCAGGAGAATCTGCAGCTCCAGCCGTAGGAGAATCTGCAGCTCCAGGCGCAGGAGAATCTGCAGCTCCAGACGCAGGAGAATCTGCAGCTCCAGGCGCAGGAGAATCTGCAGCTCCAGGCGCAGGAGAATCTGCAGCTCCAGGCGCAGGAGAATCTGCAGCTCCAGACGCAGGAGAATCTGCAGCTCCAGGCGCAGGAGAATCTGCAGCTCCAGGCGCAGGAGAATCTGCAGCTCTAGACGCAGGAGAATCTGCAGCTCCAGGCGCAGGAGAATCTGCAGCTCCAGACGCAGGAGAATCTGCAGCTCCAGGCGCAGGAGAATCTGCAGCTCCAGGCGCAGGAGAATCTGCAGCTCCAGGCGCAGGAGAATCTGCAGCTCCAGGCGCAGTAGAATCTGCAGCTCCAGACGCAGGAGAATCTGCAGCTCCAGATGCAGGAGAATCTGCAGCTCCAGACGCAGGAGAATCTGCAGCTCCAGCCGCTGGAGAATCTGCAGCTCCAGGCGCAGGAGAATCTGCAGCTCCAGACGCAGGAGAATCTGCAGCTCCAGGCGCAGGAGAATATGCAGCTCCAGGCGCAGGAGAATCTGCAGCTCCAGACGCAGGAGAATCTGCAGGTCCAGACGCAGGAGAATCTGCAGCTCCAGGCGCAGGAGAATCTGCAGCTCCAGACGCAGGAGAATCTGCAGCTCCAGACGCAGGAGAATCTGCAGCTCCAGACGCAGGAGAATCTGCAGCTCCAGGCGCAGGAGAATCTGCAGCTCCAGGCGCAGGAGAATCTGCAGCTCCAGGCGCAGGAGAATCTGCAGCTCCAGGCGCAGGAGAATCTGCAGCTCCAGGCGCAGGAGAATCTGCAGCTCCAGACGCAGGAGAATCTGCAGCTCCAGACGCAGGAGAATCTGCAGCTCCAGACGCAGGAGAATTTGCAGCTCCAGGCGCAGGAGAATCTGCAGCTCCAGACGTAGGAGAATCTGCAGCTCCAGACGCAGGAGAATCTGCAGCTCCAGGCGCAGGAGAATCTGCAGCTCCAGACGCAGGAGAATCTGCAGCTCCAGCCGTAGGAGAATCTGCAGCTCCAGACGCAGGAGAATCTGCAGCTCCAGGCGCAGGAGAATCTGCAGCTCCAGGCGCAGGAGAATCTGCAGCTCCAGACGCAGGAGAATCTGCAGCTCCAGACGCAGGAGAATCTGCAGCTCCAGGCGCAGGAGAATCTGCAGCTCCAGGCGCAGGAGAATCTGCAGCTCCAGGCGCAGGAGAATCTGCAGCTCCAGGCGCAGGAGAATCTGCAGCTCCAGGCGCAGGAGAATCTGCAGCTCCAGACGCAGGAGAATCTGCAGCTCCAGACGCAGGAGAATCTGCAGCTCCAGACGCAGGAGAATTTGCAGCTCCAGGCGCAGGAGAATCTGCAGCTCCAGACGTAGGAGAATCTGCAGCTCCAGACGCAGGAGAATCTGCAGCTCCAGGCGCAGGAGAATCTGCAGCTCCAGACGCAGGAGAATCTGCAGCTCCAGCCGTAGGAGAATCTGCAGCTCCAGGCGCAGGAGAATCTGCAGCTCCAGACGCAGGAGAATCTGCAGCTCCAGGCGCAGGAGAATCTGCAGCTCCAGGCGCAGGAGAATCTGCAGCTCCAGGCGCAGGAGAATCTGCAGCTCCAGACGCAGGAGAATCTGCAGCTCCAGGCGCAGGAGAATCTGCAGCTCCAGGCGCAGGAGAATCTGCAGCTCTAGACGCAGGAGAATCTGCAGCTCCAGGCGCAGGAGAATCTGCAGCTCCAGACGCAGGAGAATCTGCAGCTCCAGGCGCAGGAGAATCTGCAGCTCCAGGCGCAGGAGAATCTGCAGCTCCAGGCGCAGGAGAATCTGCAGCTCCAGGCGCAGGAGAATCTGCAGCTCCAGGCGCAGGAGAATCTGCAGCTCCAGGCGCAGGAGAATCTGCAGCTCCAGCCGCAGGAGAATCTGCAGCTCCAGACGCAGGAGAATCTGCAGCTCCAGACGCAGGAGAATCTGCAGCTCTAGGAGCAGGAGAATCTGCAGCTCCATGTGAGGTGACTAGCCCTGTAAGTGCACACCTTGTGAGGTGACTAGCCCTGTAAGTGCACACCTTGTGAGGTGACTAGCCCTGTAAGTGCACACCTTGTGAGGTGACTAGCCCTGTAAGTGCACACCTTGCGAGGTGACTAGCCCTGTAAGTGCACACCTTGCGAGGTGACTAGCCCTGTAAGTGCACACCTTGCGAGGTGACTAGCCCTGTAAGTGCACACCTTGCGAGGTGACTAGCCCTGTAAGTGCACACCTTGCGAGGTGACTAGCCCCATGAGGTCGGACGTGCCGATGTAGGTGAGAGATGGATGGCTGCCCACCACCTGGGGGGAGCAAAGGGAGGGAGCATGGGGGTAGCATGGGGGTGTGTGAATTGCGAGCATTTGTCGTGATGATGGCATGCTGGCGTGCTGCATGAGTAGCTGCTTACGCGGGGCTTATTCCGGAAAGGTGCTCCGACGCTTATTCCCCCCCTTCTCCCATCCGGCTCCCCTGCCCCACCCGCATATCAAGCTGCCAGCTGTGTGATAATCCCACTACCCCCCAGGCCTGTTCCCTCCCCCACCCACCTCGCGGCCAAGGCGGTTGTCCTCCAGCTCCGCGTTCAGCATGCATCATGCGTGATGTCCCTCATAGCCCCCTACACCGCACCCCACCGCACACCACCCACCTCGCGGCCAAGGCGGTTGTCCTCCAGCTCTGCGATCAGCGATTGCACCTGCTGGCCCTTATAGCCCCCCTAAACCGCACCCCACCGCACACCACCCACCTCGCGGCCAAGTCGGTTGTCCTCCAGCTCTGCGTTCAGAGATTGCACCTGCATGGAGGATAGGATGGGGGCGATGGGGGCAGGGTGTGAGTGCAAGAGATCGCACCTGCATGCAGGGGGAAGGGGGTGTGGGGGCCAGGATGGGGGCGGCGTGGGCAGCAGGTGCGTGCAAGAGTGCACTACAGCAGTGTGTTGGCTGGGTTGAGTGCGATTAGGGTGTGATGAGCTGAGCGACACTTGGGATGTGACGCAGCTAGCTCATTTCTGCATGCCATGACCCCCCTTCAGCATGCCATAAAACCCCCTTTTTGCATGCCATAAAACCCCCTTTTTGCATGCCATAAAACCCCCTTTTTGCATGCCATAAAACCCCCTTTTTGCATGCCATAAAACCCCCTTTTTGCATGCCATAAAACCCCCTTTTTGCATGCCATAAAACCCCCTTTTTGCATGCCATAAAACCCCCTTTTTGCATGCCATAAAACCCCCTTTTCGCATGCCATAAAACCCCCTTTCCGCATGCAGGCAACGCCCCTAGCATGCGAGCACGCCTCATGGCAAAGCACCTGGATCTTGTTGGCTCGGCACACTGACTCCGCCAGCAGGAACTGAGACGATTTTTGAGGCGCCTCAAGAATTGCAATGAGGGTGGTGACGGGGGCAACAAGCACACAAGACTCATGATGGTGTAGGGGCAGCGACTGCACACCTTTATCTTGTTGGCACGGCACACCGATTCTGCCAGCAGCAGCGAGTACAGCGACTGCTTGTCCGGCTTGGTGCGCTCTGTTTGTGCATGGGAGAGGGGCGCAGGGCAGGGGAGGGGATGGTGCATGTGGTTGTTGGAGGGAAGATGCTTGCATGGGTATGAGCCATGAGTGCATGCTTATGATTGATGCATGGATGGGTATGAGCCATGAGGGCATGCTTATGATGGATGCATGCATCAGAGCGGTGCCAGGAGCGGTCGGAGACAACGATGATGGAGAAGGGCACGTTGTCAAAAAACATGTCACCGCCAGCCCATGCATGACGCCAAGGAGTTGAGCCTGTAGGAAACAACATCTGTGTACATCACACACACACACACCCACTCATGCACACACGCACCTCCGTGGTGCCAGGAGCGGTCGGAGACAACGATGATGGAGAAGGGCACGTTGTCAAAAAACATGTCAACGACAGCCCATGCATGACGCCAAGGAGTTGAGCCTGTAGGAAACAACATCTGTGTACATCACACACACACACACCCACTCATGCACACACGCACCTCCGTGGTGCCAGGAGCGGTCGGAAACAACGATGATGGAGAAGGGCACGTTCTCAAAGAACATGTCTCCCCACGCCCGCCAATGCATGGCTACAAGGAGTTGAGCCTGTAGGGGCTAGCAGCTCAACACACAAGCACCCACCTCCGTGGTGCCAGGAGCGGTCAGAGACGACAATGATGGAGAAGGGCACGTTGTCAAAGCACATGTGTGCACAGGCGCATGCATAGACGCCTAAACTTCCAAATCATGAGGCCCAACAGCCTATCACACACAGACACTCAAACACTCGCACCTCCGTGGTGCCAGGAGCGGTCGGAAACAACAATAATGGAGAAGGGCACGTTGTCAAAGAACATGTCACCGCCGGCGGACACAAAGGGGTGGAACACACTGCCCAGGTCCAGGATGGCGTCTGTCAGATCCGTGCGACTCATGGGGTTGCCCACCTGGGGAAACGGGGGACGAGAGAGGGGCGAGGAGAGTGGGGACACAAGGGGCATGGGGCATGAGTGCGTGAGTGAACAGCTCTCGAGTGAGCCGTCTCAACTCAACACCCCCCCGTACTGATACAAAGGGGTGGAACACACTGCCGGGGTCCAGAATGGCGTCTGTGAGGTCCGTGCGACTCATGGGGTTGCCCACCTGAAGAGGGCGGACAACCCACAAGGACATGCAGAAGCAGTGCAGAAAGGGAGAGGGGCGGACACGAATGGGAGAGCTCAACACCCCCCAGCGCAGACAGAACACAAAGGGGTGGAGAACACTGCCGGGATCCAGAATGGCGTCTGTGAGGTCCGTGCGGCTCATGGGGTTGCCCACCTGGGGAGAGGGAGGGAAAGGGAGGGAAGGGCAAGGGAGGGGAGCGAAGAGTGGTGGGGCCACACAAAGAGCTCCCCTCCCTCCATTCCAGATGGGGCCACACAAAGCGCTCCCCTCCCTCCATTCCAGATGGGGCCACACAAAGCGCTCCCCTCCCTCCATTCCAGATGGGGCCACACAAAGCGCTCCCCTCCCTCCATTCCAGATGGGGCCACACAAAGCGCTCCCCTCCCTCCATTCCAGATGGGGCCACACAAAGCGCTCCCCTCCCTCCATTCCAGATGGGGCCACACAAAGCGCTCCCCTCCCTCCATTCCAGATGGGGCCACACAAAGCGCTCCCCTCCCTCCATTCCAGATGGGGCCACACAAAGCGCTCCCCTCCCTCCATTCCAGATGGGGCCACACAAAGCGCTCCCCTCCCTCCATTCCAGATGGGGCCACACAAAGCGCTCCCCTCCCTCCATTCCAGATGGGGCCACACAAAGCGCTCCCCTCCCTCCATTCCAGATGGGGCCACACAAAGCGCTCCCCTCCCTCCATTCCAGATGGGGCCACACAAAGCGCTCCCCTCCCTCCATTCCAGATGGGGCCACACAAAGCGCTCCCCTCCCTCCATTCCAGATGGGGCCACACAAAGCGCTCCCCTCCCTCCATTCCAGATGGGGCCACACAAAGCGCTCCCCTCCCTCCATTCCAGATGGGGCCACACAAAGCGCTCCCCTCCCTCCATTCCAGATGGGGCCACACAAAGCGCTCCCCTCCCTCCATTCCAGATGGGGCCACACAAAGCGCTCCCCTCCCTCCATTCCAGATGGGGCCACACAAAGGGCTCCCCTCCCTCCATTCCAGATGGGGCCACACAAAGCGCTCCCCTCCCTCCATTCCAGATGGGGCCACACAAAGCGCTCCCCTCCCTCCATTCCAGATGGGGCCACACAAAGCGCTCCCCTCCCTCCATTCCAGATGGGGCCACACAAAGCGCTCCCCTCCCTCCATTCCAGATGGGGCCACACAAAGCGCTCCCCTCCCTCCATTCCAGATGGGGCCACACAAAGCGCTCCCCTCCCTCCATTCCAGATGGGGCCACACAAAGCGCTCCCCTCCCTCCATTCCAGATGGGGCCACACAAAGCGCTCCCCTCCCTCCATTCCAGATGGGGCCACACAAAGCGCTCCCCTCCCTCCATTCCAGATGGGGCCACACAAAGCGCTCCCCTCCCTCCATTCCAGATGGGGCCACACAAAGCGCTCCCCTCCCTCCATTCCAGATGGGGCCACACAAAGCGCTCCCCTCCCTCCATTCCAGATGGGGCCACACAAAGCGCTCCCCTCCCTCCATTCCAGATGGGGCCACACAAAGCGCTCCCCTCCCTCCATTCCAGATGGGGCCACACAAAGCGCTCCCCTCCCTCCATTCCAGATGGGGCCACACAAAGCGCTCCCCTCCCTCCATTCCAGATGGGGCCACACAAAGCGCTCCCCTCCCTCCATTCCAGATGGGGCCACACAAAGCGCTCCCCTCCCTCCATTCCAGATGGGGCCACACAAAGCGCTCCCCTCCCTCCATTCCAGATGGGGCCACACAAAGCGCTCCCCTCCCTCCATTCCAGATGGGGCCACACAAAGCGCTCCCCTCCCTCCATTCCAGATGGGGCCACACAAAGCGCTCCCCTCCCTCCATTCCAGATGGGGCCACACAAAGCGCTCCCCTCCCTCCATTCCAGATGGGGCCACACAAAGCGCTCCCCTCCCTCCATTCCAGATGGGGCCACACAAAGCGCTCCCCTCCCTCCATTCCAGATGGGGCCACACAAAGCGCTCCCCTCCCTCCATTCCAGATGGGGCCACACAAAGCGCTCCCCTCCCTCCATTCCAGATGGGGCCACACAAAGCGCTCCCCTCCCTCCATTCCAGATGGGGCCACACAAAGCGCTCCCCTCCCTCCATTCCAGATGGGGCCACACAAAGCGCTCCCCTCCCTCCATTCCAGATGGGGCCACACAAAGCGCTCCCCTCCCTCCATTCCAGATGGGGCCACACAAAGCGCTCCCCTCCCTCCATTCCAGATGGGGCCACACAAAGCGCTCCCCTCCCTCCATTCCAGATGGGGCCACACAAAGCGCTCCCCTCCCTCCATTCCAGATGGGGCCACACAAAGCGCTCCCCTCCCTCCATTCCAGATGGGGCCACACAAAGCGCTCCCCTCCCTCCATTCCAGATGGGGCCACACAAAGCGCTCCCCTCCCTCCATTCCAGATGGGGCCACACAAAGCGCTCCCCTCCCTCCATTCCAGATGGGGCCACACAAAGCGCTCCCCTCCCTCCATTCCAGATGGGGCCACACAAAGCGCTCCCCTCCCTCCATTCCAGATGGGGCCACACAAAGCGCTCCCCTCCCTCCATTCCAGATGGGGCCACACAAAGCGCTCCCCTCCCTCCATTCCAGATGGGGCCACACAAAGCGCTCCCCTCCCTCCATTCCAGATGGGGCCACACAAAGCGCTCCCCTCCCTCCATTCCAGATGGGGCCACACAAAGCGCTCCCCTCCCTCCATTCCAGATGGGGCCACACAAAGCGCTCCCCTCCCTCCATTCCAGATGGGGCCACACAAAGCGCTCCCCTCCCTCCATTCCAGATGGGGCCACACAAAGCGCTCCCCTCCCTCCATTCCAGATGGGGCCACACAAAGCGCCTGGGCCCCATCTGGTCTGGAATGGCCATTATCACGTTGGTGCGGCTCGTGGGGTCGATTGCACCATGCGATGCATGCACCAACTGACGCGGCCATTCATGCAGCGCCCGCCCATGCGCTCACCACCTGTGCTCTCATGGCAGTACGCACCTTGTGCACCACAGTAAGATTCCTCAGGGGCGTCCTGAGCATGCGGACGAGCTGCCTCTCCAGCTGTGCTCTCCTCGGCCAGAATGACCAGCTCAGTGCCCTCTCCAGCTGTGCTCTGCTCACGTCACACATACATGTGCGCATGCCAGCACGGCAGCACGCACCTTGTGCACGACAGTGAGGTTCCTGAGGGGTGTGCGCAGCATCCTTGCAAGCTGCCTCTCGCGCTCCCCAAGGCTCCCCTCCGCCAGGACGGCCAACTCGCTGCCCGCTGCTCACACATGCCCACCGCAGTGCTAATGCTGGTATGGCAGCACACACCTTATGCACCACCGTGAGATTCCTCAAAGGTGTCCGGAGCATGCGGGCGAGCTGCCTCTCCCTCTCCTCCAGGCTCTCCTCTGCCAGAATGACCAACTCGCTGCCCGCTGCTCACACATGCGCACCCCTGTACTCATGCCATTATGCCACCACGCACCTTGTGCACCACCGTGAGGTTCCTCAGGGGCGTCCTGAGCATTCTCGCCAGCTGCCTCTCGCGCTCCTTCAGGCTCTCCTCCGCCAGAATGACCAACTCGCTGCCTGCCGCTCACACATGCCTGTGCTCATGCCAGTACGGCAGTACGCACCTTGTGCACCACCGTGAGGTTCCTGAGGGGAGTCCTGAGCATCCTGGCGAGCTGCCTGCCGCTCACACATGCTCTCCGCTGTGCTCATGCCAGTACGGCAGTACGCACCTTGTGCACCACAGTGAGGTTCCTGAGGGGAGTACGGAGCATTCTGGCGAGCTGCCTCTCGCGCTCCTCCAGGCTCTCCTCCGCCAGAATGACCAACTCGCTGCCCGGCCCCACTCAGCGCGCACCTCTCTCTGTGCTAAATTGCTAATGCTGCCGGTACGCACCTTGTGCACCACAGTGAGATTCCTGAGGGGCGTCCTCAGCATCCTCGCGAGCTGCCTCTCCCTCTCCTCCAGGCTCTCCTCCGCCAGAATGACCAACTCACTGCCCGGCCCCACATAGTCGTCAAACTCGCCACGTGATGTGATGTGATGGTGACCGACCAGATGACAACACATGGCCTGGCCTCCTGCTGGCTGACACATGCAGCGCGCTCACCTCTGTCTGCCCTCATGCTCATACGCACCTTGTGCACCACGGTCAGATTCCTGAGGGGAGTACGCAGCATGCGGGCGAGCTGCCTCTCGCGCTCCTCCAGGCTCTCCTCCGCCAGAATGACCAGCTCGCTGCCCCCAGCCGACACATGCCTGTACGCACCTTGTGCACGACCGTAAGGTTCCTCAGGGGCGTCCTGAGCATTCTCGCCAGCTGCCTCTCCCGCTCTTCCAAACTCTCCTCCGCCAGAATGACCAACTCGCTGCCCGGCCCCACGTAGTCGTCAAACTCGCGGATCATGTCCGGCACGCCCGTCCTCCATCCAAGCATCACCATGCGCTCCGCTCGTGCCGCTGGCTCATTCGGCTGCAGCGGGGGGCAGGGGGAGACGCGTAGAGGGCAACGGGGTGCAAGTGAGGCCCCACATAGTCGTCAAACTCGCGGATCATGTCCGGCACGCCCGTCCTCCACCCCAGCATCACCATGCGCTCCGCTCGTGCCGCCGGCTCGTTGGGCTGTGGGAGGCGAGAGGGGTATTGGCGCGGTTGGATGGTATGGGACACAGGAGTGCATGGGATGGGAGAGCACACGAATCAACCCACTCTGCCCGGCCCCACATAGCCGTCAAACTCGCGGATCATGTCCGGCACGCCCGTCCTCCACCCCAGCATCACCATTCGCTCCGCCCTGGCTGCCGGCTCGTTGGGCTGGGGAAGGGTAAGAAGGGTGCGTGGAGTTGGGGTCACACATGAGCTCGTGCGTTGCAGGTCACATGCAGGCCGGTTACGTGTGAGTTACAGGTGGGCTACAGGTGGGTTACAGGTGGGTTACAGGTGGGTTACAGGTGGGTTACAGGTGGGTTACTGGTGAGACGGCAGCATACAGAAGCAGTAGCAGCAGGCTGAAAGCTGACACCATCACTGCACAGCCTCACCTCGTCAGACCACCACCACACCCTCCTTTACTCACCTTGAACTGGCCGGCATCTCTTGTCTTTAGCGCCGAGTCCCTGTGCACTCGCACCATTCCCTCACTCCCCCCGCCCCCGCGCCCCTCCCTCCCCCCCCGGCCGCTCTCCTGCTTCTGCCTTATCTGTGCTGCTTGCATCATGAGTGCTGGAGGGGGGTAGCGATGAGTGTGCTTCAGCGCTATCAGCATCACCTGGTGGTGGGATGTGGAGGGGAAGGGAGGGGGAAGAGGGAGAGTGAGAGTGAGAGTGGTGCCCTCCTCCCACCCGTCTGCTCTCCTGCTTCTGCCTTATCTGCGCTGCTGCTTGCATCATGAGTGCTGGTAGGGGGTAGCGATGAGTGTGCTTCAGCGCTATCAGCATCACCTGGTGGTGGGATGTGGAGGGGAAGGGAAGGGGAAGAGGGAGAGTGAGAGTGGTGCCCTCCTCCCACCCGTCTGCTCTCCTGCTTCTGCCTTATCTGCGCTGCTGCCTGCAGCATGAGCGCTGGGGGCGGGTGCCGGTGCGTGTGCTTCAGCGCTATCAGCATCACCTGGTGGTGGGATGTGGAGGGGAAGGGAGGGGGCAGAGGGAGAGTGAGAGCGGTGCCCCCCTCCCCTCGGCTGCTCCCTGCTTCTGTCTGACCTGGTGCTGCTTGCATGATGAGTGCTGGCGGGGGGGGTGGCGATGCGTGTGCTGAAGTGCTATCAGCATCAGCCGCTGGGATATGATAATAAGGAGGAGAAAACGCACCAAGCCCATTCTTAAAATACAAGAACCTATAACTCCGTTACCTAGTCAGTCTTTTCAGCTAAGCTATATACCCCTTTCACCGCATCCCACCGCTCATCACACCTTATCGGTGCGCTGGATGGGGTCAGAGTCCTTGGGATGGAACTGCACCTTGCCGTCCCTCGCCTCGCCGTCCCGCACCTTGGTAGGTCAATGCAGGCTACATCGATTGCTGCACCTTGCCGTCCCTTACAATGCCACAGCACACCTTTGAGGCGCCCCATAAGTGAATGGGCAGACACCAAGACACCTCTCATCCCACCTTACAGTGACACGGAGAAACCCCTCAGCACACCTTATCGGTGCGCTGCATGGGGTCGGATTCTTTGGGGTGGAACTGCACCTTGCCGTCCCTCACTATGCCGCAGCACACCGCCTGCTCAGGTGAAGGTTCGGTAGGTGGGAGGCAGAGGGACGGGGATGGTGGTATGGCAGGTCAATACAGGTGACCGTGCTGCACCTTGCTGTCTGCACAATGTGAAACAAACACACCAGCATGAAGAGGAGCATGACTCACCTCGGGGAATCCCCTGCGCACATGACTCACCTCGGGGAATCCCCTGCGCACGAGGCCGTAGGGCAGGCCGGCAAGCGAGGGGAAGCTTCTCACGTTGATCACCTCGTCTGGGGGGCAGAGGGGAGGCGGGTGAGAGAAGAGGTGATTTTTCGAGACGTCTCAAAACAAGGCCGTAGGGCAGGCTGGCCGGCAAGCGAAGGAAAGCTTCTCACGTTGATGACCTCGTCTGGAGGGGAGAAGGGGGATGAGGGCGAGGGAAGGCGAAGTGGACCGTGAAGGCAGGTGAGAGAGGAGAGGAGAGTGGGAAAGGCAAAATACACAGGTATGAGAGGGGAGGAGGCAGGGAGGAGGGCAGTTTGCAGTGCCCTTTACCCTGGTCTGGCCCCTATCCTGCTCTCTGCCCTCTCATTCCCCACCCACCAGTGTGGTCCAGCAGCTTGCAGTACACGTCCACGAGCCCGGGTTGTCGGGAGCACTGCACGAAGAGCTTGGCAGAGAGATTCTCCACGGCGCTGCCCTTCACCCCTCTACCCCACTCCCTGCTTATCTGACCCTCCTCTATCCGTGTGGCCCCTGTATCTCCTCACCCGTGTGGTCCAGCAGCTTGCAGTACACGTCCACGAGCCCCGGCTGCCGGGAGCACTGCACGAAGAGCTTGGCAGAGAGGTTCTCCACGGCGCTCACGCGCACCTCCGCCATGCCCTGCTTATCTGACCCCCCTCTATCCGTGTGGCCCCTGTATCTCCTCACCCGTGTGGTCCAGCAGCTTGCAGTACACGTCGACAAGGCCGGGCTGCCTTGAGCACTGCACAAAGAGCTTGGCAGAGAGATTCTCCACGGCGCTCACGCGCACCTCCGCCATGCCCCTCAGCAGCGACCCCGTGCTGCCCTTGCTCACTTCTGCCACCACCCCCGTGTTGGAGCCTCTAAGAAGAGGTTTGAGAGCTATGACCGACATGACCACGTCTGCATCTGCCTCGTAGCTGGAAGAGGGGAAGGAGGAAAGGAGAGGGGGGAGAGGTGGATGAAAGGCGTTGAGCAGTGCTGCCCAACGCCAGAAAGGCACAGAGCAGTGATGCCGTGCTGCTGTTTACCACGGTTCTCCACGGTGCTCACGCACACCTCCGCCATGCCCCTCAGCAGCGACCCCGTGCTGCCCTTTGACACCTCTGCAACGACTCCCGTGTTGGAGTCGCGAAGCAAAGGTTTCAAGGCTATCACCAACATCACCACGTCTGCATCTGCCTCGTAGCTGGAAGAGGGGAAGGAGAGGAAAGGAGAGGGGGGAGAGGTGGATGAAAGGCGTTGAGCAGTGCTACCCAACGCCTGAAAGGCACAGAGCAGTGATGCCGTGCTGCTGTTTACCACGGTTCTCCACGGCGCTCACGCACACCTCCGCCATGCCCCTCAGCAGCGATCCTGTGCTGCCCTTTGACACCTCCGCCACCACGCCCGAATTGGTGCCGCAGAGGGGAGGGAGGGCGGTCGATGGAGAAAGGAGAAGGGCACGACGTGGGTAGGGAGGAAGGGCAGTCGGGAAAGGAGAGGGAGGGATGGGAGCAACGAGAGGCGTACGGGTGACAGTGCTAGTAGGAGATTTGGCAGAAACGAGGGTTGCTCACTAGTCGTCCTTGGGGGCCACGAGAATGACTGAGCGCGCCCTGTCTGCCGCCACCTTGTAGAGCTTTGAGGCGATGCTGGGACATGCACGCATGCTGCTGGAACATGCACGCATGCTGCTGGGACATGCACGCATGCTGCTGGGACATGCACGCATGCTGCTGGAACATGCACGCATGCTGCTGGAACATGCACGCATGCTGCTGGAACATGCACGCATGCTGCTGGAACATGCACGCATGCTGCTGGAACATGCACGCATGCTGCTGGAACATGCACGCATGCTGCTGGGACATGCACGCATGCTGCTGGAACATGCACGCATGCTGCTGGGACAAGCACGCATGCTGCTGGGACATGCACGCATGCTGCTGGGACATGCACGCATGCTGCTGGGACAAGCACGCATGCTGCTGGGACATGCACGCATGCTGCTGCAGCTCCAGCAGGGGGGCTTTTGAGGCGCCTCAGAAGCCATGCTGCTGCAATGCTAGCAGGGGGTGTGCGCGCAGCAGCAAGCAGGGCACTCACTAGTCGTCCTTGGGCGCCAGGAGAATGACTGAGCGCGCCCTGTCTGCCGCCACCTTCTTGAACGACGCCGTGCTGCTGAGGGGACCTCTGTCACCCTGGCTGTGCTTGCGACTCTGAGGCGACGCGACGAGCAGCATGCATGCATGCCGGATCAGTGCTACCAGGGTGTGTGTGCGCGCAGCAGGAAGCAGGGCACTCACTAGTCGTCCTTGGGCGCCAGCAGAATGACTGAGCGCGCCCTGTCTGCCGCCACCTTCTTAAAGGACGCCGTGCTGCTGAGCGGGCCGCTGGTAAGAAGTGAGAGGGGAGGGCGCGGCGCGGGCACAAGGGACGAGAGGGGCGAGGGAGAAGGAGAGCGGAGAGGAAGAGGAAGGGGTTATAGTGAGGGGTGGGCGGCTGAAGGGAAGTGAGCATTCATGGTGGAGGTGAAGGTGGCAGTGGAGAATGTTGTGGGTAGAGCATGCTGTGGGCAGTGAAGGTGGCTGAAGGGAGAATGCTGTCTCAGGCAAGCAGTGAGGAGGGGGGGCGATGCTAGGGCTTGCTGCTTGCAAGCATGGGGTAAGATGAGTGAGAGCGACTATGGATGGAGTGTCGCCACTGCACTGGAATGTGCGGGTTGGGCCAATGCCATGGCACATGCTATTGTGAGACGACAGAATATGGCAGGAGGCACCTGCGAATGAAGAGGTTGATGTGCTGGCAGTCCTTGAGGTAAGGCGACACTATCTTCTCTGTCTCCTTCCGTGGTAACTCCGTCAGCAGCAGCACTGTGCGCTTCCTGGTGGAATTGGAGGCGGGAGAAGGGAATGGTGGTGAAGCAGAGGCAGAGGGAAGGATGATGGTTGTGTCAGCAGCAGCACTGTGCCGGCAGTCCTTGAGGTAAGGCGAGACTATCTTCTCTGTCTCCTTGCGCGGTAACTCCGTCAGCAGCAGCACCGTGCGCTTCCTGGTAGATAGGTAGGTGGAGGGGGGGGGACCAAAGCGAAGGGAGAACAGGGGCGGTGGTGTGTTGAAAGAGAGGCAGGGGGGAATATGATGCTTCTGTGAGCAGCACCACTGTGCGGGCAGTCCTTGAGGTATGGCGAGACGATCTTCTCCGCCTCCTTGCGCGGCAGCTCCGTCAGCAGCAGCACCGTGCGCTTCCTGTTAGGTAGGTCAGGTGGACGGGGGGGTGGGAGGAGGTGGGGCAAGCGAAGGGAGAACAGGGACGGCGGTGCTTTGCAAGAGAGGCAGAGGGTAAGATGATGGTTGTGTCAGCAGCAGCACTGTGCTGGCCGTGCTTGAGGCGCTTTTGAGAATTCTCGAAAGCTGAGGTACGGCGACACGATCTTCTCCGCCTCCTTGCGCGGCAGCTCCGTCAGCAGCAGCACCGTGCACTTCCTGGTAGGCAGGCAGGTGAAATGGGGAGAAGGAATTGGGCAAGGGAAGGGAGAACAGGGACGGTGGTGAAAGAGAGGCAGGGGGGAATATGATGGTTCTTCCAGCAGCAGCACTGTGCGCTTCCTGGTGGGCAGGCGGTGGAGTGAGGAGGCAAAGGGCATGCGGCACAAAAATGGCATGGCATGGCAGCAGTGCTGCTTGTGACTGTCCTGCCGCAGTGCTGCTGGCTCTCGCTGAGCAAACACTCGAAAGGATGGACTCTCCAGCAGCATTACCACAGCAGCGGCACCACAGCAGCATTACCCCATAGCAGCATCCCAGCATCACCACAAGAACTCCTCCCCTGCCCACCTGGTGACTGCAGAGCCATCCTGCACGGCAAAGTGCTGGCTCTTGCTGAGCACACACGAGGCGAGGGCAGACTCACCCGCAGCACCACTTGCAGCTGCAGCTGCAGCAGCATCACCACAACAACATCCTTCCCCACCTGGTTACAGCAGAGCCGTCCTGCACCGCAAAGTGCTGGCTCTTGCTGAGCTGGCGCAGCAGCGTGGCGAGGCGGTTGTTGATTCCCCCGATCACTATGTGATCCCGCTCCATCACCTGGTGCAGTGCAGGAGGTGGGACAGGGGAAGGCGCAGAGAGGCAGGGTCAGGGAGGAGCTGATCACTCGTTGAAGCCGATCAGTATGTGGCCTGGTGCCGATCAGTATGTGGCCTGGTGCCGATCAGTATGTGGCCTGGTGCCGATCAGTATGTGGCCTGGTGCCGATCAGCATGTGGCCTGGTGCCGATCAGTATATGGCCTGGTGCCGATCAGTATGTGGCCTGGTGCCGATCAGTATGTGGCCTGGTGCCGATCAGCATGTGGCCTGGTGCCGATCAGTATGTGGCCTGGTGCCGATCAGTATGTGGCCTGGTGCCGATCAGTATGTGGCCTGGTGCCGATCAGTATGTGGCCTGGTGCCGATCAGCATGTGGCCTGGTGCCGATCAGTATGTGGCCTGGTGCCGATCAGTATGTGGCCTGGTGCCGATCAGTATGTGGCCTGGTGCCGATCAGCATGTGGCCTGGTGCCGATCAGTATGTGGCCTGGTGCCGATCAGTATGTGGCCTGGTGCCGATCAGTATGTGGCCTGGTGCCGATCAGTATGTGGCCTGGTGCCGATCAGCATGTGGCCTGGTGCCGATCAGTATGTGGCCTGGTGCCGATCAGTATGTGGCCTGGTGCCGATCAGTATGTGGCCTGGTGCCGATCAGTATGTGGCCTGGTGCCGATCAGTATGTGGCCTGGTGCCGATCAGTATGTGGCCTGGTGCCGATCAGTATGTGGCCTGGTGCCGATCAGTATGTGGCCTGGTGCCGATCAGTATGTGGCCTGGTGCCGATCAGTATATGGCCTGGTGCCGATCAGTATGTGGCCTGGTGCCGATCAGTATGTGGCCTGGTGCCGATCAGTATGTGGCCTGGTGCCGATCAGTATGTGGCCTGGTGCCGATCAGTATGTGGCCTGGTGCCGATCAGTATGTGGCCTGGTGCCGATCAGTATGTGGCCTGGTGCCGATCAGTATGTGGCCTGGTGCCGATCAGTATGTGGCCTGGTGCCGATCAGTATGTGGCCTGGTGCCGATCAGTATGTGGCCTGGTGCCGATCAGTATGTGGCCTGGTGCCGATGGCCTGGTGCCGATCAGTATGTGGCCGATCAGTCCCACTCCATGACCTGGTGCAGGTGGTGAAGGGGAGAGCAGGAGTGAGTGAGGAGTGAGCAGCGTGGCGAGGCGGTTGTTGATTCCCCCTATCACTATGTGGTCCCGCTCCATCACCTGGTGCGTGCACAGGGGTGAGCAGGGTGAGCAGGGGAAATGTGCGGGGAGGAAAAGAGGAAGGAAGAAAGGGGAGAAGGAGGGAGAGGAGGGAAAGGAGGGAAAACGTAGGAGAAGAGGGGACTTGATGCTTGACCTCTGGTAATAGAAGCTTGCTGTTAGTATGCCTTTCATGAGCAAAGCATTCGCATGTTGCACTCACAGTACAGCACAGCACAGCACACCCCAGGGGAAGACCATAGCCCCCTCTCACCTGCGAGTGAGCGCCTTCCCTCAGCCACTCCATGCGCAGCTGCTCACAGGGGGGCAGGGCGGGGCGGAGCGGGGCGGGAGGGGCGGGGTGCGCAGTGAATGGGGAGGTGGAGGTGAGTTCAAAAGCAGAGAGAATGTGCGCCCTCCCTGAGCCATTCCATTCGCAGCTGCTCACAGGGAGGCGGGTGGGTGCGTAGGGAATGGCGAGGTGGGGGTGAGCAGAGCAGCGAGAAGAAGGGCGGGGAGAAGGGCGGGTGGGCGACGGGGCAGGTAAGAGAGGGGGCAGAGTCAGGAGATTTGGTGAGCTGTGATGAGACTATTGCATGAGAAGGTGTGCTTAAGAGCAGACTTGTGTATGTCACAGGGAGGAAAAGGAGTTGAAGGTTGAGAGCATGTTAGAGCATGTGAGTGAAAGCGTGTGAGAGCATGTGAGAGGGCACCTTGAACTGCGCGGTCATGGTGGAGGTGAGCAGCGAGTAGAAGAAGAGGCATCTGTATAACGCCTGACACAACAGGGTTCAGCGTCTAGGGTTGAACGCTGTTGAGAGGAGAGCACACGCACCTTGAACTGGGCGGTCATGGTGGAGGTGAGCAGGGACTAGAAGAAGAGGCATTCTCTTAACGCCTCACACAACAAGGTGTAGCAGCTGAGAGCACACACACCTTGAACTGGGCGGTCATGGTGGAGGTGAGCAGGGACTAGAAGAAGAGGCATTCTCTTAACGCCTCACACAACAAGGTGTAGCAGCTGAGAGCACACACACCTTGAACTGGGCGGTCATGGTGGAGGTGAGCAGGGACTAGAAGAAGAGGCATTCTCTTAACGCCTCACACAACAAGGTGTAGCAGCTGAGAGCACACACACCTTGAACTGGGCAGTCATGGTGGAGGTGAGCAGCGAGTAGAAGAAGAGCCCCCCCAGCGTGAGCATGATGCCTATCACCCTCCCCTCCTGCGTGCTCTCCTGCCACACCATGCGAGGGAGGGGCACAGGGCGGAGGGGCACAGGGCGGAGGGGCACAGGGCGGAGGGGCACAGGGCGGAGGAGCACAGGGCGGAGGGGCACAGGGCGGAGGGGGACAGGGCGGGGGGGACAGGGCGGAGGGGGACAGGGCGGAGGGGCACAGGGCGGAGGGGGACAGGGCGGAGGGGCACAGGGCGGAGGGGCACAGGGCGGAGGGGCACAGGGCGGAGGGGCACAGGGCGGAGGGGCACAGGGCGGAGGGGCACAGGGCGGAGGGGCACAGGGCGGAGGGGCACAGAGCGGAGGGGGACAGGGCGGAGGGGGACAGGGCGGAGGGGCACAGGGCGGAGGGGCACAGGGCGGGGGGGACAGCAGGGAGGGAAGAAGATGATTGGCGGTAACATATGGGGAGTGGGGCTGATGGAGAGAGGAGAGGAGTAGAAGGAGAACCAGCGCAACCAGCGCAAGGAGCACAACCAGCGCAACCAGCGCAACCAGCACAACCAGCACAACCAGCACAACCAGCACAACCAGCACAACCAGCAGTGCCGGCAAGCAAGCAAGCAAGCAGTACCCGGAGGTGCTGGCGGGACGAGCACACATTGCCCCACGCGTCCCACAGCGCCTCCCCAAACGGCTCCTGCGGCCTCCTGCACCTCTCCACCGCACCCCACAGCAATCAACCACACCCCACCCAGCACACGCGATCGCCACACACATGCGTCCACAGGGGGAGAGGAGGAGAGAGGAAGGGGAGGCAGAGGGGTGAGGCGGTACCTTAAGGTGCGAGCTGGACGACACGAGGGCGGACCACGCGTCCCACATGTCCTCGCCCAGACTCTTGCGCTGCCTGCCATGCGGTCAATGCGGTGAATGCAGGCGATGAGAGCCGGTGCCATGGATGCACACGCAGTGCGTTTGCGGTCAGTCAGTGTGGTCAATGCAGCAGTCAATGCAGCAGTCAATGCAATCAATGCAGCAGTCAATGCACTCAATGCAGTAGTCAATGCATCAGTCAATGCAGCAGTCAATGCACTCAATGCAGTAGTCAATGCAGCAGTCAATGCACTCAATGCAGCAGTCAATGCAGCAGTCAATGCACTCAATGCAGCAGTCAATGCACTCAATGCAGCAGTCAATGCATCAGTCAATGCAGTCAATGCAGCAGTCAATGCAGCAGTCAATGCACTCAGTGCAGCAGTCAATGCAGTCAATGCAGTCAATGTGGTCAATGCAGCAGTCAATGTGGTCAATGCAATTGGTGCAGTCAATCAATGCTATGGAAGCAGTAATAACATGGTGATGACATGTCGGCGGCGTTGACTCGATGACTATGATATGATGGCATTCGCTTTGCACATGGCTCAGCAGCAGCGCACATGGCTCAGCAGCGCACATGGCTCAGCAGCAGCGCACAAGTCAACATGCTGCTGACAGCAAACTTGTGTGGCTACTTCTGTGAGAGTGGTCTAGTGAGTTATTGAGAAAATTCATGTCAAAGGGAAAGAGCCGAGAAATATGCTGAAAGGAAGAGGAATTTGCAAAACGAGGGATCTGTATGTGGAAGAAAGACAGACAGTTGCGCGCCAAGAAAAAGCTGGCAGGCAGGGGTTCAGCGGAGAAACACAAACTGGGCGGTGCGGCAGAGAGGGGGTGGTGGTTACCGGAAGGTGTGGAAGAGGAATCCTCCCAGGAAGACGAGTGTGGTGCACATGGTCATGAGCAGCATGATGTACCTGCCGTGGGGCATGGGGCATGGCATAGGGTATGGGACACAGGGCGTGGGGCGTGGCGTGGGGCATGGCGTGGGGCATGGTGGAAGAGGAAGCCTCTTAGGAAGACGAGTGTGGTGCACATGGTCATGAGCAGCATGATGTACCTGCCGTGGGGCATGGGGTATGGGGCAATGGGGTATGGAGTATAAGGCGTGGGGCATGGCGTGGGGCATGGTGGGAGGGGCAATGGGGTATGGAGTATAAGGCGTGGGGCATGGCGTGGGGCATGGTGGAAGAGGAAGCCTCCCAGGAAGACGAGTGTTGTGCACATGGTCATGAGCAGCATGATGTACCTGCCGTGGGGCATGGGAGGAGGGGCATAGGCCATGGCGTGGGTGGGGCATGACATGGCATGAGCATGGGATGGCATGGCGGAGGAGCGAGCTGCAGACACAGCGAGGAACGCTCCCGGTCGGAGGAAGGAGAAAGAATGGGAAGAGCAGGAGAGGCAAGGGGCGCACAGCACACGATGGGATGGGATGGCACTCCAGCGTACTTTTCAAGAGTGGCAGGTGTTTTATGAGAGTATTCAAAAACACTTGCAAACAGGGAGGCAGGCATGGCAGAGTACGAGGAGCAAGGCACACACACGATGGGGTGTCGCTCCAGCAGCACATCCCACAGGTATTGTACGCGCCCATCGAGCTCAAAGGTCAACTCAATGCTATGCTATCTCAGGGCTGAAAGAGCAAAAGGTGCAGGTAAAAGAGACGCACACAATAGGATGTCGCTCCAGCAGCACGTCCCACAGGTACTGCACGCGCGCCCACCGCCACTCCCTCACCACCCGCCCCCACGGCCCCCCCGGCGACAGCAGCACCCCCATGCCCGTCTCCCCCCGCCACTGCCCCTGCTGCTGCCAGTCCTGCGCACTGAGAGATGAGTCAGAGGAGCTGAGATCCCCCCCCCATAAGCTCTGGGAGCTCTCGGCGTGGGTTTGGGTTTCAGGGAGAGTGAAGAGGGGCGCAGGCGGCCCCACCTGCAGGCCTATCTGTCCGGTGACCGGCCGGGGAACCCACTCGGACGTGGAGCCAATCACGCGCTGCCACATGGACGCTAGGTTGGGGGATGCGGCGGCTAAGGGAAGGGATGCGGTGGAGTGAGGTGGGGATGGGCGGGTGGAGGGGGAGGCGGTAGCAGAGGTGGCAGGGGTGGCGGTGGTGCTGGTGGAGTTGAGGGTTCCAATGTCAACAGCACCATCAGTAGGAGCACCAGCGGCAGCATCACCAGCAGCATTAGCACTGGTCTCATAACTTGTGCTGCTGGAAGCAGCAGCGGCAGAAGATTCTTTCTGATTGGTCCGTTGGGAGTCGGGGGAGGCAGAGAGCGTGGCTGCAGTGGCCGTTGGTGGGGCGAGGCGAAGTCGTGTGGCTGGGCAGGGTGTGAGGGGGGATGCAAGGGCCGCGAGGAATGGTGCAGAGAGCAGGGCGAGGGCCTGAAGGGAGGGCGGAGAGAGGAAGACAAATCGATGACAGATGGACACATTGCATGATAAGATTTCCAGGTTACCACATAGCATTATCAGATTGCCAGCATACCACATAGCATGATCAAATTGCGAGGTTACCGCAATGCATGATTAGATTTCCAGGTTACCACATTGTATGATAACATTGCCAGATTCCCACATTGCATTGTCAGATTGGCAGGATACCACATTGCATTATCAGACTGCCAGCATACCATATAGGATATAGCATCATCAGGTTGCCAGGAATTACAATTCATACATGATATCACGTCGCATGGCCAGACTGACTTTCTACCAGCACTCACCAATGTCGAATTCCGCATATGCCACGTCAGCTGCTCCTTCCAGCTTCTGCCGTTCACGCGTGGCTCAGGCCTCGTGTCATTGCAGAACCTGCTTGTATCGAAGCTTCTTCCGCCGTGGTTCGTGCCGCTTCGGCAGTTGTCGGAATTCCCTCTTTTAAAATTAATGTCACTGCTGAAATCGCCAATCGCGTCTCGCCTTTTATTGGCTCCTGCGTCGTTGCTACAGCATTGTGCGACCACGAGCCTCCTATGGTTTGCGCTGTTGTCCTCGAATCCGGGCCTTATAACGCGTACGCTGTATGTCTTGCGACGCTGGTGAAATGTGCTAGAGGAATGGGGGAGATTTCTCGGCACGAGAAATTGTCTTCTGACCACGAAATGCGCCACGTCAGCAGGGTGCACTGTGCTCCGAAAGGACGTCATTTCGTGCAGCGGAGACGACGACACGTGGATTTGGCTTCGATAGTGACAATCTCGCACCGCATCAGTCACAGATGGCTGGATACGACACGACATTGTGGGGGAAACGACGTGCCTTGCGGCAGCCGGCATTGATACTAAATTAGAACGCGCAGAGACAATGCATACAACTCGCACAACTAAAGGTCAGCTACGCATTTCAAGAGTGTTAGGCGGACACTCTTGAAGCAACGCAGGAAGGATGGCAGTGAGTGGGAGGGGGGGTAGAAGGAGCATGGTGAGTGTGGAGAGGGTGTTCAAACACAGCCGCAACCCAGAGAATGGTTTTTGGTAATCGCGCGGGAAAGTGGTGCCATCGGTGTTGGCGTCTTCGGTAGTTGGCGGCTCTGACAATAATTGCCCCAAGTAACTGTAGCTGATGACGTACAGTTGCTCACTTTCGTTCTGCTTCACTTATCCAAACTCACAATGCAACACAATAGTTAACAGCCACATTTGTTAGGCAGACTTCAGGTTTTCAATGGTATTCTATACTTCAGCAAAACCCCAACCTTATTACAGGGGTTTCTTGTGCCTGTCACAGTTCCAGTCCAGCACACGACTCATCCAAGCACCCTAGAAAACAAACACGATTTCCTTTTTTTCATAACTTCAAGCTGCCTTCATGCAACCACAAGGGAGTCGGAATCACTGCTGCTGTCTTCAGTCCTGGCACCAAAACCCGCACCCTCAGCTTCACCAAGCGGCACATCACCACTCTCCACAGCAGCAACATCCTCCCCACCCTCCCTCTGCTCCCTAGAGTGCCACCAGCACCCGCCATGCCCCTCGAACACGGCCTCAGCACGCACAAACCCCACCACGCGCCGCTCCTCCCCCGCGCTCCTCTGTGCAGCCTCCTTGGCGAGCCCGTAGCGCATGCGTGCACTGCCCGCCACCACCGCCGCCAGGGGAGTGCGGCGCGAGGAGAGGAGGAGAGCAGCTTCCGAGATGGTGGAGAGGCAGGAGAGCGAGGGCGGGGGGGGCAGCATGAGGTGCGAGACGAGGGTTGTAGGATCCTGTGGTTGGGGGAGAGAGACAGGTGGGAAGGGTGAAAGGGAGAAGAGGAGGAGAGCAGCTTCAGAGATGGTGGAGAGGCAGGAGAGCGAGGGCGGGGGGGGCAGCATGAGGTGAGAGATGAGGGTCACAGGGTCCTGAAGTTGGGGAGAGAGACGAGTGGGAAGGTGGGAGGGAGGGGAATGGGAGGTTATCGTGCGGTGATGGTTTTGATGGGTGTGAAGATGGAAGGAAGATGAGGAATGGCAGGTGGGCCTGGGAAAGTGGTCGTGAAGCCTGATCCATGACATACCACAGGCAATCATTCTGAACTCTTTTACACTTGCATGTGCCACTCACCATAGCATGTGACTATATGCGACTCACCATGGCATGTGACTATATGCGACTCACCATGGCATGTGACTCATGTGCGATTCACCATGGCATGTGACTATATGCGACTCACCATGATGTGACTATATGCGACTCACCATGGCATGTGACCCATGTGCCACTCACCATGGCATGGTTTGGTACTCTCAGCACGCCCACGCATTCATCAGCACCGTTGATCACCGGGATGACGTCAGCAGGCATCAGATCTGGCCGTGCTGACCTCAGCTCCACCAGTGACTGGTCAGGGTGGGCCACTGCCACGTCAGCCAGGGGAACCATGACAGACTGCACCGTATCACGCAGCGACAGCTGGATGGCAGGACACACAGAGATGGAAAGACGGGAATAAGAGAAAATGGGAAGGGTGTGGTTCGGTTGAAAGGAATGTCGGTCAAGACTGAAGACTGATGGGTCAGAGAAAGAGGGCGCAGATGCGGAAGGTACAGGCTGCGAGTGCGGGGGAGAGGGCGGGGTGCGGTGCAGGAGTTAGGTTGAGAAAGAGACGGGGAGAGGGAACGGAGAAGGGAGGATCTGAGAAAGATGGGGGCACGAGAGAGTGAGAGATGTGTGTGGAAGCTTGAAGGAGGGACAGTGTGGAAGAGTGGGAGAGAGAGAATCAGTGGAAGAGTGAGAGAAAGGATGAGGAGGAGGGAGAGAGAGAGAGTGGAAGGAGCACCGTTTTGGGCACCTCTTGTCTGATGCCGATGGGCGTGAAGCGCTCAAAGCCCGCCCCCGTTGCTGCCATCAGCTGCACCACCGCCTGCCAGGAGCCAACAGGAGTCAAAGAGTCAACACCAACAAGGAGAGCCGATCAGTCTCAAAAGAAATGTTTCTGTGAACATGGCTTGTGAAGGACACGAAAAGAGAGTTGCTGCTGTGGCAGAGCGAAGCAGCACGTTGTGGCGCCACACACACCACTTAGACTTCCATGCATGCACGACCTCGCATGCCACCCTTTTCACACACAGCATGCCCCTACCTGCACGCCACTGCCTACCTGCACGCCACTGCCTACCTGCACGCCACTGCCTACCTGCACGCCACTGCCTACCTGCACGCCACTGCCTACCTGCATGCCACTGCCTACCTGCATGCCGCGCAGGGACATGCGCAGCTGGTGGCCGTGCATGGCCTCCATCTGGTCCAGCATCCGCGCTGCCACGCCCATCTGATGCATGCGGTGAGGGGAGGGGGGGACATGGAGGCAAGTTGCATATAAGAGATGCTTATGTTTGGGCAGCCCTCTGGTGGCCGTGCATGGCCTCCATCTGGTCCAGCAGCCGCGCTGCCACGCCCATCTGATGCAGGGGAGGGAGGGAAGGCAGAGGGCATGGCGGTCAATGCAAGACTGCATGTTAGAGAGTACCATGTTCGGGCGGCCCTCGCAAGGAATCCTCTTGTGCACGCATCACTTCGTCCATTTATGGATCACTCCCCTCACATATCATCCCCTAGGTGAGTCTGGTGAGAGAGTGACTTTGTGGTGAGAGAGTGACTTTGTTGTGAGAGAGTGACTTTGTTGTGAGAGAGTGACTTTGTTGTGAGACGTCTCAAAGCTCACCTCGCCCGCCCGGGTGGCAGCCTCCAGCACCAGCTCTGCCACCTCTGTCCTCGTCATCATATATGCACATCTCCCCTAAGTACCATCCCCTAGGTGACTCCGTGTGAGCCGTCTCAAAGCTCACCTCGCCCGCCCGGGTGGCCGCCTCCAGCACCAGCTCTGCCGCCTCCGCCCGCTCCTCCGGCCACACTCTGCCGCCCGCGTCGCGCACCAGGCGGGCGGCGAGCTGCTGCGTGGACGGCAGGTCGCCGGCAGCAGCGAGGGAGCGCATGAGGGAGAGGAAGACGTGCGCCCGCGGCCGCATTGAGCGGTCCGCTCTCCCCAGCTCCTCTAGTTCCGCCATGCACTGCAGCGCGTCTGAGAGGAAGAGGGGGAGTGGGGGGGAAGGGTGGGTGGGTGGATGGGAGAGGCAGCGAGGGAGCGCATGAGGGAGAGGAAGACATGCGCCCGCGGCCGCATTGAGCGGTCCGCCCGGCCCAGCTCCTCCAGCTGTCGGGCCATGCACTGCAGCGCGTCTGGTAAGCGCAGGGGAGTTGAGAGGGGAGGGGCAGGGAGGTGGGAAGTGAGTTTTTTAGTCAAAGACACGCAAGTCATCTTGGAATAACAGTTAGTTTCTCCCAGCGGTGGATTGGGGGGGGGGAAGGGGAGGGGTTGTAGGGAAGCAGTGGAGAGCAGTGTGGTGGGCGTGTGGGGATGAAGGCGGGGGATGGGATGGCGGCTGGCAGGCAGTGAGGGAGAGCCCGTGCATACGTTCATGGATGCATCCATGCACCTGTGCACCCAAAACACCCATGCACGCAGCCATGATCCCATGCACCCATGCACACCCATTCACCCAACGCACCCGTCCACCCATGCACACACATGCACCCATGCATGCACCCATGCATGCACCCGTGCACCCATGCACCCGTGCACCCATGCACACACATGCACACCCATGCACACCCATGCACACCCATGCACACCCATGCACACCCATGCACACCCATGCACACCCATGCACACCCATGCACCCATACACCCACACGCACCCTCAGGCGAGCCGACAGCAATGAAGGCGTCAATGATGGCCGTGTAGGCCACTCGGTCCATCCCCAGCGGATTGCTGCTCGCTGCTGTTGGTGGCACTGCCTCTACTGCTCACAACCATACATGCACACACCACACAGACCACACCCACACACACACGCGCGCACCCTCAGGCGAGCCGACAGAAATGAAGGCATCGATGATGGCCGTGTAGGCCACTCGGTCCATCACCAGCGGATTGCTGCTCGCCCCACCCCCGCTGCTGCTGCTGCTGCTATCAGCCACGCCACTGCTGCTAGTCACGGCGCTGGCAGGGCTGCTCACGCCCTCTTCCACCCCAGCAGCCGCCACACCAGAAGGCCCATCAGCCGCGAGCAGCGTGTGGCAGTGCGGGAGGGAGGAGGGGCCGGCAGGGCTGCGCACACAGCTGGCGCGCTTCATATCCGCCACCACGTCCCTCAACGCCTCTAGGTCGCCCTCCTCTGATAGACCCTGGGGGATGGGGAGAAGGTGGGGTTTGCACAGCACGAGTGTTGGCCGGTGTGAGCAGAGCAGAGGGAGTGACAGCAGCTGGCGCGCTTCATATCCGCCACCACGTCCCTCAGCGCCTCTAGGTCGCTCTCCTCCGATGACCCTGAGGAGGGGCAAGGGGCACGGTTGAAGGAGCGAATGTGGTTGCAGCAGTGCAACGGGCAAATGGCTCATGCATGTGGGGCGTGCTTTTAGCAGGGTCCAGCTCACGGGCATACCTTGATGATGGTGGTGTAAGTGACGGCGTCTGGCAGCACGTCGTCATCGCCCCTCCTCAATGCCTCTGCCTGCCAAGAGACATGTCGCATGGGGGTACACATACATAGTCATGTCATGAATACACGCACTGGAGCGTGCGCATGCACATGCACATGCACATGCACATGCACGGGAAATGCACTCGCATGAATACAATACACACGCTCTCAAACTTGACACCCTTGCAAGATATAGCACAAGGAACGGGTTATGTGCCTGCCTGCAGCAGATGATGATCACTTCACATCCTGCACCTGCTCGCGTGGCCTGTCACGCCCCTCACATAATCATGCCCTGCAAGGGCCCATGTCCCCTGCGCCCACGCCCCCCTGCGCCCACGCCCCCCTGCGACCATGTCCCCCTGCACTCATGCCCCCCTGCGCCCACGCTCCCCACGCCCACGCTCCCCACGCCCAAGCCCCTTGCGCCCACCCCCCCGCTCGCACCTTCATGTCTTGCAGGAGGTCGAGTGCGCGGTCCATGTCACCAGCGCGCACGCAGGCGAGGATGAGGCAGTTGCAGACCTTGCAGGCGCCACATTCATACCCCGTAACCACAACGGCCATGCAACCCCCACGCCCACGCCCCCCTGCGCCCACCTCCCCCGGGGCCCACGCCCCCCCCTGCCCACGCCCCCTGCACTCATGTCCCCCCGCGCCCAACCTCCCACCCACACACCCACACCTTCATGTCTTGCAGGAGGTCGAGTGCGCGGTCCATGTCACCAGCGCGCACACAGGCGAGGATGAGGCAGTTGAAGGTGACGCGCTCCCACTGCAGCCCCTGCAGGTGCATCTCCTCTGCTACGCTGAGCGCTTCTAAAGGATTGTCCGACCGCGCGTAGCCCTGGCGAGGGGGGACGGGGTAAGCCCAAGGGAGGGGTGAAGGGGGAAGCGAGGGGATGAGGCAGTTGAAGGTGACTCGCTCCCACTGCAGACCCTGCAGGTGCATCTCCTCCGCCACACTCAGCGCCTCCAGGGGGTTATCCGACCGCGCGTAGCCCTGGCGGACGGGGAGGGGGGATGGGCGGGGGGAGGGGGGCGGGGAGTGAGGGGGGATGGGATTGACCAGGGAGGGGGTTTTGAACGGGGGATGAGGATCGAACGGGGGAGGGGAGGGGAGGGAGGGAGGGGTGAAGGGGAAGCGAGAGGATGAGGCAGTTTTAGGTGACGCGCTCCCACTGCAGCCCCTGCAGGTGCATCTCCTCCGCCACACTGAGCGCTTCTAAAGGATTGTCCGACCGCGCGTAGCCCTGGCGGACGGGGGAACGCGCGCGGGGAGGGGGCGACAGGGGGATGGGGGATGGCCAGGGGAGGGGAGGGCGGGATGGTGGGGAAAACGAGAGAAAGAGCAAGAGTGAAGTGAGTGAGAAAGGGCAGGGAGCAGAGATACTCAAGTGAGGCTTGGTCCGAACATTCTGCATACTTTGAGAAGCAGGCTGTAGCGCACCTTGAGCAGCAGGCTGAAGCGCACCTTGAGCAGCAGCCTGTAGCGCACCTTGAGCAGCAGGCTGTAGCGCACCTTGAGCAGCAGGCTGTAGCGCACCTTGAGCAGCAGGTTATAGGTAAACGCGGACGGCCCGATGGCCCCCGAGAATGCGCGCTCGTAGCGTTGCACGACGCTCGTGGCGCGCCGAGCAACAGTGGAATGAGTGAGACAGGGCAGGGCCTGGTTGGAACCATTCTGCATACCTTGAGCAGCAGGTTGTAGCGCACCTTGAGCAGCAAGCTGTAGCGCACCTTGAGCAGCAAGCTGTAGCGCACCTTGAGCAGCAGGTTGTAGGTAAACGCGGACGGCCCAATAGCCTGGTGCGAATTATTCTGCTTGCTTACCTTGAGCAGCAGGTTGTAAGTAAACGCGGACGGCCCGATAGCCCCCGAGAAGGCGCGCTTGTAGCGCTGCACGACGCTCATGGCGCGCCGAGCGTCCCCCGCGTCCGCGCACGCGTTCACGAGCGTGTTGAGGTGCACCGCCGTCAGCTCCGGCCGCCCCGGCGCCGTGCCGTCCTCCATCGCCTCCAACACCTCGAATGCGTCGTCCAACCGCTTTGCACGACCTAGACCCTGAGGGAAAGGAGGGGGGAAGGCGCGCAAGGGGGTTGGAGGGTGTTGGAAGAAGCAGCACAGCGCAGAGGTGCCGAAGGTGTCGACGCAGAGAGACGCACCTTGAGCCCAATAGCGACTCTAAAACCCAAAATAGGCTGGTGGGGCAAGGAGACGCACCTTGAGCAGCGTGCCGTAAGTGATGGAGCGAAGCGGCGCACCTTGAGAGGCTGCCGAACGCGGAACTCTGAAACCCAAAAAAGGCTGGTGGGGCAAGGAGACGCACCTTGAGCAGCGTGCCGTAGGTGATGGAGTCGACGCCCGTGCCGCCGTCCGCCGTCATGTCGTCGAAGAGGTCGAGCGCGCGGTCGATGTCGCCGCAGTTCACGCACGCCGCCATGGCCGCATTCATTGTGATCATGTTCACCATTTTCTTGCTGCGCTTCGCGTCCTCCAGGAGTTGAAACACCTGCGATTGGATGAAGTGCGGGGTGCACTGCGATTAAAACGGGTTCCCGCGCTATTTACACCTCAAATTCCCGCAGTTCACGCACGCCGCCATGGCGGCGTTCATAGTGATCATGTTCACCGCCTTGCCGCTTCGCGTCATCCAGGAGTTGAAACACCTGCGCTCAAGCGGGATGCGAGTCCTTAAGACTCGCACGATAGTTTGTTGCCAATTCTAAGAAACATCTGCGAATGAATGGGATACTTTCTGAGAATTTTCAAAAGTGACTCCAATACTGCAGATGAGTAGGATACGGGGTCACACGTTGCACACAGCTGCAGCTGACGCACGGCACAACGGCAGTCGCATCAACCTCTCCTCTCGACTTTGAACTGGTCAACCTACACTCGCGCTTTACTCTTCGTCGGCCTTCTACTCGATGCATCGCGTCCATCCATTAAAGCTTAATCCACCAATCCATGATACCTCTTGACAGCCTGTATTTCAACCTCCAACCCTTCTATCTATCGGCTCTCCTGCCTGGATTCCTCATCCACCTACTTCCTAAACGTATTGACTGCCGGGGTTCTTGTCTCTATCCCCTCTATCTATCGCTCTTCTACCTGGTCCAACTAGCGCTCTTTGCCCAGCTCTGAGTCGACTTGAACGTTATCCTCTCTGGCCCATTCTAACTCTCTCTCCCCTCCTTCTCTACCTGGTCCAGCTGTCGCCGTTTCCCCAGCTCCACGATCCGTCGCGTCAGCATGCGCGCCTCACCGGAGCTCGACTCCCGCTTCTTCCGCCAAAACGGCCATTGCGGCTGCGCCGGCGGCTCTATCTGCAACGCCTCCGCCAGACCCTCCGCACCCCCTTTCCCCCGAGCCTCGCGCATTGCGCGCTCCACCTCCTTCTTCCGCCGTTCCTCCGACAACAGCTCCGCCGATGGCCGCCTTTGCGGGAGAACCCCGCGCCTTCCCCCCGGCCTTTGCTGCTGCTGCTGCTGCTGCGGTCGGCGCTGCTGCTGCCATCCCTGCTGCGCCTCCCCACTGCCTGATATGGACCCCGAGCCCCCGCTATAAGAACCACCAAGCGATAGCCCTGCCATCGAAATCCCCACCCGCGCTATAGTCACCAGAGCCCGCGCGCCCTCGCCCCTGTTTCGCCAGCTCCGCGCGTAGTTCGCACCTCCGCTGCTGCCGCCGTCGCTCCCGCCGCTTGCAACGGCATGGCATATGCCCGCTCTGGCGCCACGGCTGCTGCCGCATTCAGCGGCGGCTCTGGTGCCAGCTGGCACGAGGCGATCTAGTTGTTGATCTGAGGGGAAATCGACGGACGAGCGTTGATGACGGTGCGCTAACGACGGGGAGAAGCTAGGATCCAACGAGGGAACGAAGAGCGAGGAGGATCCGGAAGCGAGAGAAGCCGTGTCTACGAGGCGCCGATGAAGGAGAGCCGTCGATCCGTGCGACGCCGCCATGGTCACCGTCGGTCAAACCTAGTCAACCTCGGTTCAATACGCCCTTTCAGTTTGGCTAGAAAACAAAAGAAAAGCGGCGCATTCACACGAGGGACCTTGGTAACAGGCACGCTAAAGCATGGCGCACGCACGACGCTGGGCAGGACAAGCCGCTGACAGTAACCAGTTGTGAACCTCGCGGCTGAAGGTCAACTAATGGAATGTGGAGGGAATGCTGGGTGCAACCCCTTGGTGCGTGCAACACACAAGAGGGTCGGAAACTGGAGTCGTGAGTTGTGAGGAGGAACGAGTAGAGCACGAAGGGGAACGCAGGACTGACAGAACCGACAGTACGGGAACAACCAAACCCAGACCCAGAGAAGGACGGGGAAGCATGGGATGTGGAAAATCTCCACCTGGCGGCCTAGAAGCTTGCAACCACTCGCGCGAACCCACGTCATAGTTCCTGTATCTGACCCCGGCGGCAGTACCAATGCTTGCTCGTCGGCTTCCCACACTTTCGAACAAATTCGAGGAAATGTTGGAAGAGAAAGAATTAGTTAGCTCGCATCTACAGTGTGAAGTTGGGTTTCCATATCCCACAACATTAATTTTAGCTTAAATCCGCAGTTAACAATTGTAGGTGCAACGATAATTTTCTGTACCAAATGGAGATACTTGTGGGAAACTAGCTAAAAGTAAAATTTCTTTTGTGGCATAACATTGAGAACACAGGGGAGCACCACTGCAAGAGGGGGGAGTCCCTCGTTACATCTCACAAATACAACAGCAGCTGTCCAACCTAGCCAATGCCTTGGCCTGCCTATGCCCTGTGGCCCTGCCCGTCCGACCGTTCTCCCCCACGGGCAGCACGCATGGCTTGGCTCTCCATGCCTGCCTTGCCCTCTAGCACCACAAGCAACCTGCACGTCAGTCCTTAACACGTGTGGGGTAGGGTGGGGGCGCAGCGCTCTAGGCGGCGGACTTGCCCTTCTTCTTCTGCATCTTCTTCACGTAGAACTCCAGCTCCTTGCCCTCCAGGATGTACCTGCCATGCACCACCATACAGCAAGCTCCACATGTCAGCACCCAGACCATATACAGTAATAGCTACCACTTCACATACAACTCCAGCTCCTTGCCCTCCAGGATGTACCTGCCCGGCCAACCCACACACCAACTCCGCATGTCAGCAGCCAGACTATATAATATCTACCACTGCATGTAGCAGGTGTGCTTGTAGCGGCTACTAGGGGCAGCAAGCAGAATGCGCTAAAGCAGAAGTGCATGGAGACAATAAGGGGGGCAAAGCAAGCAGACGGGGCACGGGCAGCAGGAGCGCGAGCGAGGGACTGACCCGTCGCAGCGGCCGCACTGGCCGGGGCGGGAGGCGATGCAGGCGTAGAGGCGGCCGGCGGCGAACTGGTCCTCGAGGTGCGGGTCGAGCTTGTGCGACGCCAGGCGCTGCTCGTGCTTGCGCCTCACGTGCGCACTCACCTTCTTCTCCTCCTCCACCGCCTCGCCCTCCGCCTTCTCCTCCTCGCCCTGCCACGTCGAGCCACGTGGGTTTGGGGAAAGGAATGGGGGTCGATGGGATGAATTTTGAGTCGACTAGAAAAGGAATGGAAATCGATGGGATGAACCGGGGCAGGGATGAGGGAGGCGGGATGCAGGATGAGGGGAGGGACGAGGGGGGATGAGAGGAAGGGTGAGAGGTCGGATGAGAGGTCGGATGAGAGGTCGGATGACGGATGGGATGAAGGGACGGATGAGTGGGAGACGAGAAAGGGGCGAGGCGGGGCCAGCAGCGCTACGGCCGTGTTCATTTTCGCTGTGGCACGCGTGTGCGCTTGAACAGTCAGCCAGTAAGTGCGCTAGCAGACCACCCAGTAAGTGCGCTAGCAGACCACCTAGTAAGTGCGCTAGCAGACCACCCAGTAAGTGCGCTAGCAGACCACCCAGTAAGTGCGCTAGCAGACCACCCAGTCCCCTCTCCCCCAGCGGCAACCACCGCGTCCCTCAGACCTTCCCCTCTCAACCAACCCCTTTTCTCAGCAAATCTAACTCCCTCCCGAGCTTTCCTTCCTGCCATGTTGCACACCCTCGCCGCCTGTCTCTTTACCCCTTCGTCCGCCTGCTAGCCCCTTGGACGCCTGTTTCTTACTCGCTTTTTCCACTTCTCCCTCACTCCCTTCCATTCCGCGTCCCAAACACCAGTCCCGTTCCCTCAACCAGCAACCCCTCTCGTCCCTCACCTCCCCCCGCGTCCCTCACCTCTTTCTTGCCGGGCTTGGCACCCTTCTTGCCGAGGTCGACCCCGTAGTGCTGCTGGTACCACTGGCGGAACGGGAAGACGCCCCTGAGCAAACATCCCCCCGTTTAACCCCCACCGCCCCGCCCTTCCCTCACCCCGCACCCCCTCCCCTTTCACCGCCCCACCGCCGCTCACCTCCTTCTTGCCGGTCTTGGCCTTCTTCTTGCCGAGGTCCACGCCGTAGTGCTGCTGGTACCACTGGCGGAACGGCGCGGCGTCGACCTGGATGATGGCGTTCTTCACGAGCGTCTGCGTGCGGACCAGCTCGTTGTTGCTCGCGTTGTACGCCACGTCCAGGATGCGCGTCTTGCGCGTCACCGCCTCGCTGCCCCACGCGTAGTTGCCCGTGTCCAGGCGCAGCGCGCGGAACTTGTAGTTCCCGCCGCGCACACGGATCCGGCGGACCGTCTTGTGGCTGCTCAGCTTCGTGTTGGCCGCCTGCCGTCCCAAGTCATACCTGGCGAGAGACGGGCGCGCGTTCGGAACGGGGGGAAGCGGGAAGAGTGGGGATAAGGGGGGGAACGGGGGTGGGGGGAGGCAATGGAGGGAAGGGAGAGGGTGTGGGGGGGAGGAAGGTGCGGGGGAGGTGGGCAAAATGGGGAAAGGGGGGAGGAGATGGGAAGGGGGGGACAATGAGAAAGCGGAAAAGGTATTCGCGCGACAAACGTGCACTTGGCGCACCATTAACCTGTACTGCTCGGACTGTGCGACGGCTGCGACTCGCACGCATTAACCTGTACGACCATTTGCGACTATCCATCCGAACCAACGGCGTCCGTTTCCAAGTCACGAACTTCCTTCGCGAACCAAAAAACATTCTATCCTGACCTCCGCTTCCCCTATCGTCCCAGGCAATTCGGCTGCCAGAATTCTCCATCTTCAATCCTCCATTCCCTATCTTCCAATCCTCCGCACGACACGTACAGGCGAGGTACGCTGTTGGTGACAGGCACTATCTCTACTAGGAATGAACCTCCTTGGCACAGTCAGTACGGGACAAGGGAAACCAGCAGTCCAAACGACGCAACGCTCCTTCTGAGAATTCTCAAAAGTGAGGTACGCTGTTGGTGACAGGCACTAGCTCTACTAGGAATGGACCTCCTTGGCACAGTCAGTATGGGACAAGGAAGACCAGCGGACCGTGGACGCAACGCTCCTTTCAGACCGAACCCCTTGGCACAGTCAGTCAGAACGGCACTCTGGAATCACGGCTCTGGCCGTCATTAAACAATCGCGCGAAGAGCGCTTATCCTCACCAATCCATCAACCGCGCATGAAACGCTGTGACGACACGCGAAACAAACTGAGTACTGTTGTGAGACGTTGCGACAACGCGTGAGTGGCGGGGGGGGGAAGAGGGGGGAGGAAAAGGGGGGTGGGGGGAGTAAGAGAGCGGAGGAGAATCTTACTTGCGCTTCTTGTGCCACGGCTTCTTCTTTCCTCCTGTTGCCCGTCGCTTGTGCAGCGAATCACGTGAGATACCTGCCGGACACACGCGGAAACGCGGGGACAAGATACGGAGAGACGAACGCGGAACACGAATGGGAAGGGGGAGGAGGGGGGGGAGCGAGACAAGGTGAGCATGCTTAGAACGAGGGCGCAAACAGTCTCTGCGACGGGCCGTGTGAGAAGCCAACGGCCTGGAAAGCACCCTAATTCGCTTCAAACCCTAATTTCTTGTCATCACGCTAGCGCCTCGAATGCGCAGTACGACAATGGATCCAGTCACTCAGAACAACGTTTTTCCCGATGCAACCGTCGTCGCGAGCGTTAGATCGCTTTCTACACCGCGCGGACTGATCGACACCGTCCAAACCCATTCCAACAACCATCTTCGCCTATCAGACAGACCTAGAAGACATCGTATGCAGATCGACCAAATCCGCTAACACGATTAAGATCCGCCCGCTCAAACATTTCTGACCACTCCAAACTGCACTGCAGCAGCGAAACCCGCTTTCCGGTGGGCATCGACTCAGGGATTTCCATTCCTTGTGAATACGCGAGTCGAACACGCTGAGGACAAGCAAGACCGAAAGCTAGGGTTAGGGAAGGGGAGCGTACCCATGGTGAGGGAGGATCAGAGCCGTGCAGCCTGATAGAAACAGGAAAGAGAGCAAGTAATGGCGGTCGGAGCAGCTATAGCGCTGCTGCTGTTGTGGCTGCGGTGCAGGGGTTGCAGGAGGTGGGGGAAAGGGAGATGGGCGGAGAAAAGGGAGAGGGAGGGGTGGGGGGGAAGTGTGTTGGGGAAATGGGGGAATGTGGCGGAAAAAGAAGCAGAGCATGTCAACACAGGCACGGGTGGGCGGGGGGCAGGGATGTCAGGCGATGATGGATATGTTGGTGGGAGGAACGATTTTTGGGCTCTGCGGAATGCTGGATAAAGCAACCCAATTAGTATTCGATGTGATGCACAGTGCGACATGACGAAACAACTAAATTCCTGGTTATTGATAAGGGCTATTCAAAATAGAGGGCATGCAAATATATCATTGTTGATATTATTTATCAGTTCCCTTTGAACCCCTCAATGGAAAACACCAATCCTTGAACTTCGCATCATCGAGCTAAAATTTTACATGGTATGTGTAAGGATTTTTCCTTTATCCTTACCGGGGTTGACTGCGTCGGACTTCGCACGTTCGGCCGACATCAACGATGCCGAGGCTCCTCCGCGTCGCCTTCGGCTCTCCGTCGCCAAACCTGCACCCAACCTCGTTTCCCGAGGTTCCCTCCTAGCTAGGACACTCACTATATAATCGCGTGCTTTCATTGTAATCGACAGTTCATTAAGTCACAGCTTCGTTATTCGTTATTCCGCGCACTCTCCATTACAACTCATAACACCTGGTATCAGAGCTACTTTCCTAGTTCACCCCGCTTTTCGAGGGTAGTTTGGTGGCACGGGTTGGCTTGGTAAAGAGGACTGCAAAACGGTTGGCTGCAAGGTTAGTTAACTCTAACCTGCCCGACTCCGATAGTTTTTGCTTTCCTCTTGCCTGCAAGGCCACGGATACCCCTCTGCCCACCAGACGAAGCGTGCGACTCATGGACCAGGAAGCGTTGAACAAGATGATGGCGTAAATGCAAGAGCTACAAGCAACAGTGCAGAGTCTTTCGGCAGAAGTGACAACACTGCGTGTGGAAAACACCGAGCTACGCCAGACGCGAGGTGAAACGCGTCAGGAGCCGCCCGATGAAGTAGGTGAAGGCAACAGTCAAGCGATGAGCAATCCTTTGGACGCGCTCACACGTGGCTTCGAAGAGGAAGACAGGCAATGAGCGGCAGCGACGCCAGTTGCAGTTACGACGATCAAGATTAAACCTGCGAACCCGCCCCAGTTCAACCCCACGGACAAGACGACTACAGTGAAGGGGTGGTTATTCAGCGTTGAAGTCTTCTTCACTGCAGCGAACGTCTACGACGATGCCACGCGTATTAATTACGCGGTTTCTCTACTTCGAGGCGCAGCGCTTGAATGGCGGCGCCACACCTTGGACACAGGGACTCCGACAGGTGTGACACATGCGGCAGACGGGACCTTGACATCGGCTAATCAAGAGGCAACCTCAATCTTCGGAGTGACCAAGATACGCACGTGGAAGGAGTGGAGCGCAGCCTTACGAGATCGCTTCGAGCACGTATCCGCTTCGGAGCAAGCTCGCATGAAGCTGCGTAACTAGTCGCAGTTGGCATCTGTTCAAGACTACACGGCGTCGTTTATTGCCTTTACTGACCAAGTGGACGACATGGCGGAAGCGGAGCGGTTAGATAAATACATCGGCGGCCTGAAATACGAGATACAGTACGAGGTGCGTCGATGTCGGCCGACTTCGTTCCTGGAAGCCATACGGTTAGCTGAGTCCACAGACGCGTTGATGCAGTATGCGAGGACAGGTTCCCGGGAAGGAATCCGTTTTCGTGGACAGACCCAACGGGCCACAATCAACGTAGTCCACGCACCAGACCGCCCCTTTACAGGGACGTGTTTTAAGTGTGGGAAGACGGGTCACTACGCAAGAGAATGCCCCGAGAAAACACCGGCGAAGGGGAACGACAGGAGGGAGCAGGGAAATGGGAAGAGTCAGTAATTTACGGGCCCCTTACTGACTATGCTTCGTCGCCCGAACACCAACATCCCCACCGAGTAGTGGTTCCGATTCATGCAATCGATCGCACTCGGCCGAATAACGGGGATAATCATGTGGATCACCCTGTGCTGGTCGTTGGCACATTGTTAAAAATTACTCTGAAAATGTTCGTCGACGGAGGGGCCAGCCATAGCCTTTTCAACTTGGCGATAGCAAAAAAATGCAAGCTGCAACTTGACAGGTGTCTGCCCGAAATTGACGCTCGCCTCGTGGATGGGACGCCTCTGGCGATTTTGGAAGAAACACGGACGGTGAGGATCGAGTGCGGCGACATTTTCGGCTTCAGCATGAAGTTTCTCGCGACGACACTGGATGGCTGCGACGTGCTGCTGGGACGTGATTGGCTGCGACGGCACAACCCCGTCATCGACTGGACAACGGGATCGTGCTGCATCAACAAGCACGAGGGGCTAGTTAAATTACCTGCATGGACACCTGACTACATCCAAGCCCCGTGCGTCAAAGCTATCACTATAGCTCGCCACTTCAACAGGGGCGCGCAGCTGTACGCTGTATGTTTGCGCGAGTTGGCAACCGACACCGACGGACACGATATCGAGAAGCTGTGTGCAGCTGTACCGCCGGATTTAGCGGAGCTGATACGACAGTACCCGGACATCTTCCCCGACGACCTGCCACCTGGACTGCCACCCGAACGCCCTGAGGACCACAAAATACAGCTGGAACCTGGCGCGCAACCGACTGTTCGTACACAGTGGCGGTTGACCCAACCGGAACTCGAGGAGCTGCGAAGCCAACTTGATGGCTTGTTGGAGAAGGGGTTTATCAGACCCAGTACGTCTCCTTACGCGGCCCCGATCCTGTTCACGCCGAAAAAAGACGGCGGGCTTCGCATGTGTATCGATTATCGCGCGCTCAACCGGGTTACAATCAAGTCTCGCTACCCTATACCACGCACCGACGACCTCCTCGACCAACTTCGCGGCGCTCGTTACTTCTCGAAAATCGACTTACGTGGCGGTTACCATCAGATACGGGTCTTCGCAGACGATTGTTATAAGACCGCGTTCCGCACCCGCTACGGAAGCTACGAATTCCAAGTGATGCCGTTCGGCCTCACAAACGCACCTTCAACTTTTCAACTGACCATGAACCGAGTTTTCAGGGAACTTCTTGACAAGTGCGTTATTGTCTACTTGGACGATATCTTGATTTTCAGCAGGACAAGAGAACAACACCTCCGCGACCTCGACGCAGTTTTTCAGCGACTACAGGAGAACCGCCTCATCACCAAAGGCTCTAAGTGCGAGTTTTTTAAGCAAGAGTTGGAGTTTTTAGGCCACGTCATCTCCCGCGACGGCATTAAAATCGACCCGGCGAAAATCAAGGCTATACAGGAGCGGAAGTCCCCGACGAATATCACGGAACTTCAGAGTTTTCTGGGGTTCGTGAATTATGTCAGGAGGTTTATCCCGAATATGGCGGGGATAACCGGCCCGCTAACCGACCTGCTGCACAAGGACATCAATTTTGTGTGGGGGGAGGAAGCAGAGGCGGCTTTTCAGGAACTGAAGAATTTTATGGTATCCCCTCCGGTTCTACGCATCGCCGACCCATCGAAGCCGTTCGAAGTCATCACCGACGCCTCAGATTTCGCCATCGGAGCTGTACTTCTCCAGGATTTCGGAGACGGGCTGCAACCGATTGCCTACGAATCACGCAAGCTGCAGTCTGCCGAGCGCAACTATCCGATACACGACAAGGAGATGCTCGCAATTATACATGCGTTCAAACTATGGCGCTGCTACCTGGTAGGCGCCGACGTCACTGTTCGCACGGACCACAAGTCCCTACAGTACCTGCGAGCTCAGCCCAACCTCAACCCGCGACAAGTTCGTTGGCTCGATTACATGGAGAGCCACTTCACCTACCGCATCACGTACAAGAAAGGGGCGAATAACATCGCCGACGCCCTTACCCGACCAACCGTACAATCCGCTGCAGTACTCATCACCCACTCAAACCCACTACTTACAGGACTATTCACCCACGGCTACACTACGGACCCGTTCTTCACGACTGGAAATCACCAGCAAGCAACGACGCAGAAGGGGAACTATTACCTAAAAGCCGGAACGGACCGGATTTGGGTTCCCGCTTACCGACTGCTGCGTGAACTCCTTATCCAGGAGGTCCACGATTCCAACCTCTCCGGACATTTCGGGGTTGATAAAACCCAGAAACTGTTGCACCGTCAATATTACTGGCCTGATTCCTCTAACGACGTGCAGCGATATGTGTCCTCATGCAGGGTGTGCCAAGCCATGAAATCGACAAGACAGCGGCCAGCTGGATTGCTGCAACCACTGGAGCCACCCGAGCGACCATGGCAACAGGTGACGATAAACTTCGTCACGGGACTGCCAGCTGGGCCGTCCGGAAACGACGCTGTACGCGTCGTCGTCGATCGCTTCACGAAGATGGCACACTTCGCACCGTGTCGTACAACAATCACAGCCGAAGAAACCGCGCGACTCTTCATATCAACCGTCGTGCGACTACACGGGATCCCGTCGGCGATCGTCAGCGACAGGGATCCGAAGTTCACTTCCAGATTTTGGAAGGAGACGTGGGCGCAGTACGGCACAAAGCTACAGTTCTCATCAGCATATCATCCACAAACCGATGGGCAAACCGAGCGAACCAATCAGACGATGGAGCAGCTGATCAGGACAAACTGCCCCGACCCCACTAGCTGGGAAATGTCACTCGCCATGCTGGAGTTCGCATTCAACAACGCACCGTCCAGCACGACTAATCACTCCCCGTTCTTCGTGAATTACGGGATGGACCCGGTGGTACCAACCACGACGACACTTGACAACCCGGTACCACGGTCACAAACCTTCGTGACAGAACTTCAGGAAGTCCGCGAGAAAGCAGCCGACGCTATTCGTAAAGCGAATATTACTGCTCGAAAATACTCGGACCTCCTACGACGGGAAATCGTCATGACGCCTGGGCAACTAGTGCTACTCGACACAAAAAACCTACGCCTGCCCGGCTCGAACAAACTACGGCCACGATTTTGTGGGCCTTTCCGCATAATCCAGATGGTGACACCTGTCACTGTGAAGCTGCTACTACCCGACGACTGGCGTATACACGACGCCTTCCATGTCAGCCTCCTTCGCAAGTTCGTGCCCGCCACGACCGACATAGCGCGCCAGAACGCCGCCCCGACAGCTCGACCTGTCTCGGAACCGACCACCGACCCTTCGAAAATACTCGGACATCGGATACGGCTCGACGCCACTGGCCGCCACGTGGACTTTCTAGTCCGATGGACTGACCGCACCAGTGAGGACGACACATGGGTGCCATCCGCATCGCTTGAAGCATCCCCGCTTCTTGGTGATTATTTCGCCCGCAAGCGCGTTGCGGATATTTACCACCTTGCTTAAGGGGGGGGGTAGTGTAAGGATTTTTCCTTTATCCTTACCGGGGTTGACTGCTACGCGTACAACCCCGATTTTCGGACTTCGCACGTTCGGCCGACATCAACGATGCCGAGGCTCCTCCGCGTCGCCTTCGGCTCTCCGTCGCCAAACCTGCACCCAACCTCGTTTCCCGAGGTTCCCTCCTAGCTAGGACACTCACTATATAATCGCGTGCTTTCATTGTAATCGACAGTTCATTAAGTCACAGCTTCGTTATTCGTTATTCCGCGCACTCTCCATTACAACTCATAACAGTATGCATGTTTAATGGGTGTATAAATATTGTGTATAAACGGATATACGAATCGCAAGCTTGCAAGAGCGGCTCTCTTGCTCAGTATATCACGCACTATTGCTGCTAGAACGTTGATGGTTTTATTTTTCTAATGCTTTGACATACTTTCTGCAACTACTGATGCTACAATATCGGGTTACTTAGTGAGCAGCGCTGTTCGAGTGCTGACGTTAGTGTCAATATACACATCTATATTTATAGGCTAGGTTGGGTTCCACTATAGAGGGTATGTGTTATTAATTTACCCCCCTTGTATGCCCTCATAAGTCATTCATTATGTTATTGACATGGTATCAGAAAAAAGTTTGGTTTCTCGCTTCCGACCCACCTACCTTATTAGCCGCCCTCGTGCCCTCTAGCGGCCCACCCTCTAGCGACCCCCTCTAGCGCCCCGTCGTGGCACCCTCTAGTGGCCCTGTCCCGCCCCAAATCGCGCCCCTTCGCGCCTTACTGTCGCACCCCGTCGCGCCCCTGCTGTGGCCCTGTCGTGCCTCGGTGTCACGCCCCGCCGTCGCGGCCCACCGCACCATGCCGTCGCGCCCCGCCGTCGCGCCACCACTGCGCCTTGCCGTCGCGCCCTGCCATCGCGCCCCGCCACGCCCTGCCGTCGCGCCCCGCCGTGCCCTGCCGCTGCGCCTGCCTCGCGCCCGGCGTTGTGCCATGTTGTCGCGCCTGCCGCCGCGCTCTATTGTCGAGCCTGCTGCGCGCCTGCCGTCGCGCCTTGACGCCGCGCCTGTTGCTCGCCTGCCGAGCCTGCTTGCAGTGCTTCGAGCCGCGCCTGCCGACCGTGCCTGCCGCGCGCCTGCCACCGCGCCTGCCGTCACGCTTGACACGCGCATCCTGTCCCGCCTATCCCGCCTTGCTGCCACGCCTGCCGAGCGCCCGCCATCACGCCCTGCCATCGCGCCCGCCGTCACACCCTCCTGCAGCGCCTGCCGAGCCTGCCGGCCACGTCTGCAGCCACGCCTGCCAACCGTGCCTGCCGCCGCGCCTGTCGCACGCCTCCTGCCATGCCAGCTGCCGTACCTCCCGTGCACCTGCCAGCCGCGACTACTGCCGTGCCTGCCGCGCGCCTACCTCCGCGCCTATTGATGATGCCAAGCCTGCCATTATGCCCGCTGCCGCGTTTGCAGCTGTCCCTTCCACTGTTTGTGGCTTCCCCCTCTCATCCGCCCCCTTGCTCACTACTGTCATGGCATCTAAGTTCGTACTGCCGCTCGATGCGGAGGGACAGGCAATTGAATTTGACGTGTGGCTGCTAGACGTCTAGCTCCAACTGCGGAGCCAGCGCCAGGACAAAGTCTCACTATACGCCCACGTCAACGGAGCGGGAGGCTTACCACGTGGCCCAGCTTGTGTACTTGGTTTTGGAGTCGCAAAATGCTACTACGTGCCTTGCTCTTAGTCGCCTCATGCGTCGGCCAAGCGGGTGCACTTTCGCCAGGTCGAGACAGCGAAGGAGTGTCTGGATCCTATTGTTGCTCACTACTACACTCGTCATCTGCTACACAGGGGCGCCTCCTCGTGCCTTTCCTCTTTCCTGATCTTCTTGCTTTCCCCACTTTCACTTACCTCAATACCCACCTGCGCTCGCTTGACGCTAGCTTTCGCGCTGCTTGCACTGCTGACCACCTTGCGCAGCACCCTCCCCCCCTCTTCCCTCCATGTATCTCACCCTGCAATTCTTAGCGGCTCGCTGCCTCTCGCCTGCCAGCGACGCCCTCCTCGCCATGCACCCCATGAGCCTCACTATCGATCTCTTTGAAACACATTCCACTTAGATCGAGACATGCCTTCGCACCATCGCCTCCACCACAGTGCGGTAGCCCCCCCCCCATCTTTGAGGGGCGCGCTCTCCCCCAGTTCCCTACCCCAACTGCCTCTGCTGGTGTTGTTGAGCCTACTGTTACAGCGGAGGTCGCAGTTGTCTCTGCCCCCTCTAATGGGCGGGGACGACACAAGTTTGGTCGTGGTCGTTCATGAGGTGGCAGTGCTGGTACGTCGGGGGGTGCAAATACGTCCGAGGGTACTGGCTATGCTTCTCGTGGGCCCAATGGTGCTAGTGCAGACACGGGTGCGACGATGACTTCGCAGCAGCAACAGTTACAACAGCTTCAGCAGTGGGTCTCCCAGCGGCAGTGGAGACCTGCTGGTCTGGGGAGCAATGGTCGCGGTGGCACAACACACCGTGCACTACTCTGGCTGACCTATATTTCTTCTCGTTCTCTGCTGACCCGTCTCGCTTTGTTCGCTCTGACTCTACTCCGCTCTACATTCTGGTCTACGCAGACGACTTGGTCTTCGCTACTCCAGATAGAGTCGCACTGCCCTCGGTAAAGGCCGAGCTGTTGAGGAGACACGCTTGCACTGACCTAAGTGAGTTGCGCCGCTATCTTGGCCTACATATCACTAGGGACAGAGCAGCGCACACCATCACTCTCACTCAGTCACACATGGTGCAGCAGATCCTCCAACGCTTCGGCCTTCAATTCTTCCCCTGCACAGCTCATTCCTTAACCTGTTGGCCATACGCTCTTGACCCCTATCCCTTTTCTGGTGGGGTGCCTCATGTACCTGATGTCCTGCACTCGCCTGGATCTCGCATATTCTCTCAACATCCTTGTCTGCTTTGTTGCAACCGGGAGATACGAACCTGAGCGCTGATCGGCTGCTAAGAGGGTATTACCCTTTTTGGCTAGTATGTGAGGCATGAGGCTTGTGCTCGGAGGATGAAAGCCAGTTTCCCTCACCGACGTATCGCGGACAGACTACATCGAAACTATCAAGCCCTCCCTGGGCTACTACGTATCGCGGACAGACTACATCGAAACTCTCAGGCCCTCCCTGGGCTATTGTCACAGCCTTGGTGCAAAAGCGGTCTCATGGAGGACCACTCGCTTGGCTTCGGTGGCACAGTTTAGTTGTGAGGGTTGAGGTCTACGCTGGCACTATTGTTGTCCAGGAGCTCCACTGGCTGGTGTTCTTGCTTACCGACTTAGGTGGCCCGCCTAGCTCTTCCCTGGTCCTGCTCGCTGATAACAGGGCCATAACCCTCTTGTTTCTGGAGCCTGGACTAGAGGGCAGAGAGAAGCACATCCAGCTGCGGTACTTCATGCTGCGTGAGCAGCAGCAGCACAGCCAGACAGGCGTACACGTGGCCTTAGGGGCCAACAGCGCTGATATGTTTACAAATGCACTTACGCCTTGTGATCATCAACGACTATGCACACAGCTTGGCCTTGTCCCTGTCTTTAGACACATCCGTGTTGATTCGAAAGGCCTCCTTTCGACCTCCATAGACATCTTTAGGAAGCCCCTCACTAATAGAACATCTACTCCATTCTTAAGAAGTGAGCACAACGGAATGGTTGGATTGAGAATGCAAGACAGTACAATTAGGGAAAACCTAAGCACTGTACTCTCTACTGTGCACCTCACTACAGCCTATCAAGATATTGCACATTTGACACACCCCTATAGGCTAAGTGAGGGGCATCAGAGCAAGCAAGGTGAACAAAACGGTCACAAGACCAGTCAAAGCAAGAAGCAAGGCAAGCTCAGGGTGGATCTCAAGGACACCACACAAATTCCGAGCGCAAGCAAGCAGCCACAAGGCCAGTTCAAGAGTTTACTAGGATATAAATACAAAGCACGACAAGCAGAACAAGCAACAAGGCTACAGCAACCGAGGGCCTAACTCTACCAGCCCCAACTGCACACAGAACCTGTGGTGGTCACCAGGCGCCAGGGCCTTGGTGAAGACGTCTGCAGTGTTGGCCTCGGAGGCCACAAAATCCAGACGTGCCTGGCCGCGTCGCTGCAGCTCTCGCAGGAGGAAGTACCTCACGTCAATATGCTTCACTCTGCTCTCCAGTCGCGGATCTCGACACAGGAGGATCATGGCCTTGTGTCAGAATATTATGCTCTAGCCTGTAGTGGGGTGCTCTATAGCGAGTACAACCCTTCTAGGGTTTGCTATTTGTATCCTCATTCTTGCTAGTGCAACTCCTCCTTCTTTGCCTAAACTGTTTCTTGCCTAGCTAGGGCTTTCCTAGCTATGGCGCCTTCTTCTACTGCTTATCTTCACACCTTGTTGTCAGCGTACAAGGTCGGTGCAGAGCGAGGCCGCTCACCAAGGTCGGCGAGCAAGAAGGTCAACCAGCGAAGCTCCTGTGCCGCCATGGCACCAGCGTAGATCTCTGCCTCTGCACTGGAAGTAGCCACAGACGACGACCGTGTAGACCTCCACGACACAGCACCAGCTCCCAGACTGAAGCAGTAACCCTGAGTCGAACGCTGAGTCTCCACGTCGTCAGCGTAGGAAGAGTCGCAGTGACCAGTCAACGCCACTGGCTGAGTCCCTCCAAGCACAAGCCCCATGCCTGATGTGGTCGCCAGGTACTTCGCCACCCTCACAGTAGCTGTCCAGTGGACAGGATGGTGTCTCCCAGTCGCAACAAAGCGAGAGAGGACGCTGAGGGGAAAGGCGAGGTCCGGCCGAGTACAAGTCATCAGGTACATGAGGCAGCCCACCAGCTCTGCGTAGGGACCACTGGACTCAAAAGGCTCGTCGGGAAAGGGGCCAGTGAGTCTGTGGTCAACAGCAAGAGGAGTGGGCTGTGTGGTGGAGAACTGGAAGTCGAACCGCCGAAGGACCTGCTGCACCATGTGTGACTGCGTCAGTGTGATGGTGCGAGCGGCTCTGTCCCGGGTGATCTGCAAGCCAAGGTAACGCTGCAGCTCACCCAGGTCAGTGCACTTGTGTCTCTTCTGCAGTTCGAACTTCACCTGAGCCAGGGCTGCCCTGTCTGCTGTAGCAAACACCAAGTCGTCGACGTAGACAAGGATAAAGAAAGGAGTAGAACCCGCTCGAACAAACAGCGACGGGTCGGCGGAGGACGGGCTGAACCCAAGGTCACGAAGCGTGGAGCGAAGAGTGTCGTGCCACTCACGGGGCGACTGGCGGAGACCGTAGACTGGTCGCCTCAGGCTCCACTGGGTCCCAGGTGGGAAGGTGTCAGTGAAGCCAGGAGGACGGCGCAGCCAGATCTCCTCGTGCAGTCGGCCCTGGAGGAACGCAGTGGAGAAGTCGAGGGAGTGCAGCTCGTAGTCTCGCTGCACTGCTATGTGGAGTAACACCCGAAGAGTAGTCATCTTCGGGGTCGGGGCGAAGGTCTGGAAGAAGTCAACTCCCTCACGCTGACTGAAGCCCCTAGCCACGTAGCGCGCCTTGAACACCGGCGGTGCTCCAGGCGGCCGCTTCACCTTGAAGAGCCACATGCCATCGACTACGTTCGCCCTGGGAGGGGGAACTGCGTCGACGTAGGTGCCTGTGGATCTCCAAGACGCCAACTCTGAGTCCATAGCCGCTTTCCACTGAGAGGCCCACGCCCCTGACACTGCCTCGCGGTAAGTGTGAGGAGTCGGTATGTCAAGGGCGTCGTGGTCTCGCTCAGGGGAGAGCAGCATGGCACACACAGAGGGAGAAGCGGCTACCCAGTACTCCAGCTCACACTCTCTGTCCTCTAGGACGTCACAGCCAAGGGCAAACTCACCCCCGACGGACAGAGGACGGTAGGGAGGAGCTGGCACCACACGGGTGGCGTAGTCAAGGCGGCTGGCGGCAGCAAACTCAGCGACAGCGGCAGTGAGAGCAGAGACCGACGACGGAGGAAAACGAGAGTCGGTGACAAGAGTGGCGAGGACACGTGCGGCAACAGGACGAACAGTGCGGTAGTAGTCAGTGATAGGAGTGGGGAGGGCCGGGAGAGAGGACGGAGGAGGAGGACACAGGAGAAGGAGAACGACGACGAGACGTACAAAGGAGGGCAGTGTGGAGGTCAGTAACAGGGGACGAGTGACGAGCACGCGGAGGACAACGAGTGACCAAGTCGCGACGGACCGAAGGAGGAGGAGACTGGGGAGGAGGAGAAGACCAGACCGCCGGACGGTCGTCAAGAGGAGGCAACGGAGGAACAAGCACAGGAGGAGACTGGGAGCGGACAGGAGGAGAGGAGGAAAAGCCAAGGGCCCGCAGGCCACTCACAGGTGGGAACAACTGCCGCTCCAGAGGAAGCTGTGGTGGCGGCTGC